TGCTGCTCAAGAAACATTTCTTATTATTATAAATGTTGAAAACAGTTGTGCTGTCTAATATGTTTGTGAAAACCATCATTTATTTTTAAAAGTTCAAAAGAACATCATTTATTTGAAATAAATGCTGATGGTATTTGATTTTTGAATTTTATATACATATACACTGCCCGATCAAAAAAAAAGTTGCTATTTGGATTAGGCAAATGCTTAAGAGTCTATGATTGGATCATCATTGCAGTGATTATTATCTTTCTAGCATCTAATATGTTGGGCAACAGTTCTTTTAACCCTAATTGATGGAGTGTGTAGCTTTTCATTTCTTAAACAACCATGGAAGAGACATCATGGCCATATCCCAGGATGACAATGTCAAGATTTATCAGTCTCAGATTGTGAAATAATGGTTGTAAAATAGCATGAATAATCATTTTCACACATTAATTGGCACCTCTGAGTCCAGATCTTACATTCATTTGGGATTTCAAGTCTTTGGGATGTGCTGGAGGAGACTTTACAGAGTGCTGGACTCTTGCATTGTCAATACAAGATTTGTTTTTTTTTTTTAATTAAAATTTACACACCTCTTTTCACAACATTTATTTCATGACTTTTTTTTTTTTTGGGCTGGGCAGTGAATGTATATATATATATATATATATATATAATATAAAATAATATGCTGTTTTGTATAGTTACAATATACCTAGCAAGGGATGCGTATGAGATGTCTCAACTCATGGTTTTGCTGTTACAGTTCGAACGAGATGTGATGATCTGGAACAACAAGACGTACATCTCCAAACCTATGCTTGTGAAAGAAGACTCTGCTATTCAGAAACACAGACGCTGGTTCAGTCAGTTCTACAGCGAGAACAGCCCTCAACTGCGTTACCAGCACGACACTCTGGACTTCTGAACATGAACTATGCTTCAACCCAAATGGGTTGCTAAAAGGCCAATAATACCAATATTTTTTTAACCGAAGCTGATATTTTGTTGATATTTAAAAAAAAAAAGAAAAGAAAAAGAAAAAATCATTATGCAAAAATTATAATTATGCATTTCTTTTGCAGTTCTTTTTAACAAAACATTGTTTAAACAAACAACATGCGCAAAGACAATAATAATGTAAATGCATAATAAAAGTGCACGTGCATTTGGATATTACAAGTCTGGATATTATACTTTTATTTTTTATTCCATATCTTAAAAGTATGAGCTTATAAATATGTCTGTTCAAGTGTGTTGTGTAAAAATAGGTAACTTGTTTTCCATCGAAAGGACCTTTCCTCCTTGTTGAAGTGCCTCAGACAATCATCTGTCAGTAAATAATAGTTGTGTATTTCTATCTACTGTGCTGCTGTGCTTCCTGATTGCAGAATTACACACTACAGCTACTGCAGTCTTGGGTTTGGACTGTCTGAGAGTCCTCTAAGCTTCAGTAAGCAATAAGCCAAAGCCCAGAATTGCCTTTGTCTTTGCAGATGCACCAGGTCTTGTACACAAACCTGTGCACACTGTGAACATGGATGCAAAATTAGATGGACCTTGAATAATGCACGAGTGTTGTTCTGCCCCCAGATACATACAGGTGAAACTCGAAAAATTAGAATATTGTGCAAAAGTTATAATTTTGATGATAGCTTATAGCTTATGAAAACCCCAAATTCAAAATCTCAGAAAATTAGATTATTACATGAAATCAATAAAAAATAAGGATTTTAAATACAGAAATGTCGGCCCTCTGAAAAGTATGTTCATGCATATTTATATAGTTACTAAATATATTAGTTTCACCTTTTAATTTGAATTACTGAAATACATGAACTGTTGCACGATATTCTAATTTTCCGAGTTTCACCAGTAGATACAACTGTTTCGTATTAAACTTTGGCACATAACTCGTCCCATAACTGTAGCAACCACTTTGAATAAACAGAATGAAATCGTCCACTAGTGTAGATGCTAATATAGTTATCAGTTATCGTTCTTGTGAACGGGCCTTATTCTAAGGAATCATTCTGTAGGAAATAAATATATAATTATAATATAAATATAATTGTATATACATATAATTTGTATATATATATACATATATTTATACTATAATTATATACATTTACATATTTGTTTATAATTTTAATAGATAGATAGATAGATGATATTCAATGAAAGCTTAATATTTTATTTACTGTGACAGGACTTGGCTGAAAGTCCTTCTTCAGGTTTCACCGTAATTAATTGTTTATTCTCCAAGCTTGTTACTAAAGAAAGGCGCCTGCCATTATCCAATAGACCAAAACACACTGTGGAAATTAGTGTCCACCAAATAGCTGCCAAGTAGGTAGTGCAATTACTGGACATGTTCCTATCAATTACCATCAATAATGGTTATCCACTCAAAAGGGACATTGCGGCAGTGCAGTTCCAGTGCAGTTCATCTGATTCCATCCACTGTCTGTCTCATAACACTAAGTGGCATTAATGAATATGTTTGACCATGGTGACAGACAGGATGTGTCTATGACATGCACCATATGGTCTTGCCCTGTTAATACATCCTGATTGTCATCTAGATGGAGCGATCATCATTCTGGGTTACTGCCCTAAACATATGCTGGTATGCAGATGTTTCGGCCTGGTCAATTAAGCCTTCTGAACAGCTCATCTCCTGTCGTGCCTGCAGTGTCTTGTGTGTCTGTGTTCAAAGAGCATGCATGGCTGTACAGACTGAGCCTTTCTGTGCTGGCTGGTGCAAAACAAGGGGAGGAAAATTATGACAGACCCTGTGACAGGCTCTAGGGACTCTGAATGAGATGATCTATGATTGAATAATGATTCTTTTAGACACATATTTAGTTTTAGTTTTTTTATGAAATCACTATTGTTTGGTTCTAAGGAAAATTAAATACAAATTTGCAATTTATTTACTTACTTTGTTGCCATAAAATGTCAGATAAACTGTTTATAATATATATACAGTATATTAAAAATAAGATTATTAGACTTATTTCTGAAGGATAATGTGGCAGTGATGACTGGAGTAATGGCTGCTGAAAATTCAGGTTAAAATATATATATATATATATAATATAAAAAAATATATTTTTAATTATCTTAAATTGTAATCATTTCACAATATTACTGTTTTTATTGTATCAAATAAATACAGCCTCTGTAAGCACAAAAGACTTCTTTCTAAAACTTTTTTTTTTAAATCATAATCATGCTTTATAATTATTCTTTATAACAGGTAGTGTATACACTGAGCCTAAACATTATGACCAATCAAAGGTGGAGCGAATATCGTTGATTATCTCCTAACAAGGAGATGAAAAGCGCTATACAAATAAATGTGAATTGAATTGAACAAGGGCTCATATTAAGGTCTGGGTAGATTAGATAGGAAGCAAACAATAGGTTCTCGCAATCAACGTGTTGGGTGCATGGAAATGGACAGTAATAAAGATCTGAGCGACTTTGACAAGGCCCAAACTGATATGGCCAGACAACTGTGTCAGAGTCGCTCTGAAACGTAAGGCTTGTGTGTTGCTCCCGGACAGCAGAGGTGAGAATTTACCAACAGTGTTCAGAGGAGGGACAAACCACAAACCGACGACAGGGTGTTGGGCCCCAAGGCTCATCAATGCACGAGGGCAATTAAGGCTACCCCGTCTGGTCCGAGCCAACAGAAGGTCTAATGTGGCACAAGATTTTAGTGATGGGAGGAATGTGTCAACACTGCTGCGTATGGGACTCTGAAGCCACAGACCAATCAGAGTTCCTATGATGACCCCTGTCCACCGTCAAAAGCACCTACAATGGGCATGCGAGCGTCGGAACTGGACCTTGGGGCAGTGGAAGAAGGTCGTCTGGTCCATGAGTCGCGTTTTCTTTTACATCATGTGGATGGTCGTGTATGTGTGGGACGGCAACAAACTGGTGGAGGGAGTGTGACGCTCTGGGCGATGTTCTGCTTGGAAACCCAGGGTCCGGCCTTTCATGTGGACGTAAATTTGACACGTGCCACCTACTTAAACATGGTTGCAGACCAGATACACCCCTTCATGACAATGGTGTTTCCTGGTGGAAGTGGCATCTTTCAGCAGGAAAATGCACACTGCACACATTGTTCAGGAATGGTTTGAGGAACATGATGAAGAGTTCAAAGTGTTTCCCTGACCTCCAAATCCCCCAGAATTGAATCCTATTGAGCATCTGAGGGATGCTCTGGACCAAGAAGTTCGATCCACGGTGGCTTCCCCTCGCAACCTACAGGACTTGAAGGATCTGCTGCTAAAGTCTTGGTGCCAGAAACCACAGGACACCTTCAAGGTCTTGTAGAGTCCATGCCTCAGCAGGTCGGCGTTGTTTTGGCGGCAGGCGGAAGGGCCGACAGCATGTTAGGTGATCATAATGTTTTAGCTCATCGGTGTATGTGTGTGTGTGTTATGAATTACAGATTTATTTATTTATTTACTACCTCATTTTGTTTGCATTGTCAATGCCTTTTAGTTTGTATTAGCCTGACCATGTGAGATAATGCATATGCAATGATGTTCTTGAATGCAAATTAGTAAATTGCATATTGTATTACAACCGTGTCCGAATTTGAAACTGACAATTTGGTTTATCTTTACAATGGAGGAGCCATTGCAAACAGATACAGCATTTAGGCCAGTAAAATGTAAATTAGACATAATATGTTTCTGGAGAACTGATTATGCACATTATTTGCATAATTGCATTAGCCTGAGATGTAATATTCATACACTGTACACGACTACGTAGTTTGGTTCTCAGATCTATTTCATATATATTCATTTGAACTGGACTGCAAAAAAGATCAGCGGTAATAGAATGCCACTTTTTTGGTTTCTTTATAGACTGCATGAGGATATTCCAGGTGCATTGCACAACGCAAGAGGTTTTTAACTTCAGGCTGTGTCTGTGATGTTGCTTCGAATCACATGCACTTTGGAAGTAGGACAAGTTTTTTTAAAGCGCTGACGCACTGAGACTCTGAGTGCAGCTTCTGACCTTGGGACTGCTGATCTGGCAATAAAGAAGCTGGAGGTAACTCACCTGACATCTGATTTTATATCACCTTCTGTAATGGCTCATGTCCAAGCACTGGCAGATGGTCCTGATGGGGATTCTGAAAGAATGACAAAACTATTCTGTTACCTCTAAATAACCTTCACGATAAAGCAAAAGAGTTTAATAGCGGATGTCCAGTGATGTTGAACACAGATGCAAGGGTGGTATGATTTGATCAGATTTCATCTTCTTTTATTAAACATTTCAGTGAACAGATTCCACAGGGAATTCCGTGCACCGAGCCAGAACCAATTCCGACAGATGGAATGATCAGCATGACATATAAAAGAATAAGCCAGGAATCTGATAGCTCGAGACCACCATGTGTGGACAGTATGGCCAGCCTTAGCTCCAAATCCACCGATTGCCCAATTTGCAATGAATCGTACAGCTCCGCGGGCGAGCATCGCGTGGAATTCCTGAACTGTGACCATAAAGAGTGCCAAAAGTGCTGCAGACTCTAGCCGTGTTAAATGCCTCCTATGTCGCCAGAAAACCCCTCTTTTACTCTGGGAGACCTATAGAGAAAACTTCTCATAATTCTCATATGTGCGGTTGTTACTCATATGAGACTCCCTTGGAGGCTTGTGCAAATTGGCGAATGAGATTCAAGAATGCTGGATAATGCAATTGAACACAGCTGCCTCATTCTTGTTTTCCATGCCATTCTTGCGATAGCCCTGTTGTTTGCTTTTGCAAACTAGCCTCAGGCCGAGAACTCCAACTGTGAACTAATTTATTGAACTTGACAACAGATGCCACTAAATTTTGAAATAAATGTGAGCGGTGCTTGCCCATGCAAACCCCGTTGCCAAAATGCTAGGGTGTTCTGGGTGGTTGCCAGGGTGTTGCTATGCGGTTGCTAAGGTGTTCTGGACCCTAGATAAGACTTTGCTCCCTTCTTCAATGTCAGTCTATATTAAATTATATTATTAAGCACATATTATAATATAATATCATTTTAAAATAAGCACAAGTTTTGATACTCGAACCTAACCTAAATATGATCAATGAATAAATAAATCTGTTTTCTATTTCAGTATAGTTTAATATGTCATTTATTCCTGTAATGCAAAGCTGAATTTCCAGCATCATTTCAGTCACATTATCCTTTAAATCAAATCATTCTAATAAACTATATTTTATATAGCCTAAATAATACATACAATTTTCAGAGTAAAATAAAGATCAATAAACAATCATACATCACTCTGCACAACCTTGAAACACTGTAAAGTCTTCCCTGTTGCCTTTTATCAATAATTAGGACACGCTTGCATATGGTTTAAAAATAATAAAACGTCTCAAATTCACTGACGGAGCCACATATACATCATTGTCTAGATCCTCACACAGATGTCTTTTGATATGGATTAAAACAGTCAAAAATAGTGTCTCAGTTTAAGAACAGACAGTTCTTTTTCTGGTTTTAAATAGCATATTTTTGGTGTAACATTTGGCTGGTTGAAAGTTCTCCTCTTGGTCTGCGTCCTAGTTTTCTGAAGAAGAGATTGGACATCATTTATAACCATAGCAACCCTCTGAGGTTGGTGCAATGCCACAGTACTTCTGTGTGCATACTTTACCCCACGATGTTCGTCGTCTTGTTTTTTATTATCTTACCCAATCTTTCCTGAAAAACGTAAGATTTACAGGTTGTAGGAGGCGATCATCTGAGCGAGACATTTTTACTGTTTTCCATCTGCACTCAGTCTGTAGAATATTTATGCGAGACATTTTTGCATTTAGGCTGCACATACAATTTGCAGTGCTACTGTAGACCAAGTCACTATTTATGGCGATAGAAGGACAGAGATGAAAGGGTCAGTCATCAATAATAGATTTACATACCACATACATGAGAAACACATCATGTAGGTCCTCAGCTGGCATCTAGGACACACCAGAACAGCAGCAAAAGGTTTCTTCTTAACCCATTACCAGCCTGAAAACACATACATACACACACAGGCGATACGATAAATAATTGTGGGTTTTTGAAGCAATATACTTAAAAAATGCAATACTGTCATTATCAAGTGGATCATTATGTAAACAATAATTTTATCCAACACTTAATTTGTGTTCATACATTATGCATTATGATGCATGTCATCGCCCCCATCGTCATGTTTAATAGTCGCATTAGCAAATACCTTATGCACATTTTGATGAAAAAAACATAGTAAATATAATATTAGGCTATGCTCGCGAAATCAAGACAATTAGCTGTGGTCTGCTACTGACATGGCACAAATGTATTATATATTTTTTTGTCAAACGTGTTTATTTAAAGAAATATATACAATTTACTGACACACAGATGTTCCATCTATTTAAATGGTTAGGATATTATTTGACATAATGTTTTTTTTCTACAAGACCTGTTGTGATCCCAGGTTATCAACCATTTACATAGTATCCCTTTTTAAAGTAATAAACTACACTCACCGGCCACTTTATTAGGTACCCCATGCTAGTAACGGGTTGGACCCCCTTTTGCCTTCAGAACTGCCTCAATTCTTCGTGGCATAGATTCAACAAGGTGCTGGAAGCATTCCTCAGGGAGTTTGGTCCATATTGACATGATGGCATCACACAGTTGCCGCAGATTTGTCGGCTGCACATCCATGATGCGAATCTCCCGTTCCACCACATCCCAAAGATGCTCTATTGGGTTGAGATCTGGTGACTGTGGAGGCCATTTTAGTACAGTGAACTCATTGTCATGTTCAAGAAACCAATTTGAAATGATTAGAGCTTTGTGACATGGTGGAAGTAGCCATCAGAGGATGGGTACATGGTGGCCATAAAGGGATGGACATGGTCAGAAACAATGCTCAGGTAGGCCGTGGCATTTAAACGATGCCCAATTGGCACTAAGGGGCCTAAAGTGTGCCAGGAAAACATCCCCCACACCATTACACCACCACCACCAGCCTGCACAGTGGTAACAAGGCATGATGGTTCCATGTTCTCATTCTGTTTACGCCAAATTCTGACTCTAACATCTGAATGTCTCAACAGAAATCGAGACTCATCAGACCAGGCAACATTTTTCCAGTCTTCAACTGTTCAATTTTGGTGAGCTCTTGCAAATTGTAGCCTCTTTTTCCTATTTGTAGTGGAGATGAGTGGTACCCGGTGGAGTCTTCTGCTGTTGTAGCCCATCCGCCTCAAGGTTGTGCGTGTTGTGGCTTCACAAATGCTTTGCTGCATACCTCGGTTGTAACGAGTGGTTATTTCAGTCACTGTTGCCCTTCTATCAGCTCGAACCAGTCTGGCCATTCTCCTCTGACCTCTGGCATCAACAAGGCATTTCCGCCCACAGAACTGCCGCTCACTGGATGTTTTTTCTTTTTCGGACCATTCTCTGTAAACCCTAGAGATGGTTGTGCGTGAAAATCCCAGTAGATTAGCAGTTTCTGAAATACTCAGACCAGCCCTTCTGGCACCAACAATCATGCCACGTTCAAAGTCACTCAAATCACCTTTCTTCCCCATACTGATGCTCGGTTTGAACAGCAGGAGATTGTCTTGACCATGTCTACATGCCTAAATGCACTGAGTTGCCGCCATGTGATTGGCTGCTTAGAAATTAAGTGTTAACGAGCAGTTGGACAGGTGTACCTAATAAAGTGGCCGGTGAGTGTATATATATATATATATATATATATATACTATATAGTGCTGTCAAATCGATGAATCACGATTAATAACATCTAACAAAGTTTTTGTTAACATAAGATATATATATAAACATAGTATACCCCCCCCCCCCCCCACCCCACCACCACCACCACACACACACGCGCGCGCGCGCGCATATTACGCACACACATTAGAGGTGTGTCATCTTCTAATTAGTCTTGACTATTCTTTGGTAAATGGTCCGTCTCTATCTGTGTGTGTTAGCAAGAGCGCGTCATTATATAACGGCTGCAGTGCAGGCTGGCCCAGCTGTATTGATGTGCAGAGATGTGGGATTGGGGGGAGGAGGGAGGGAGCAGAACACGACCGAGGCCAGTGAGAACCTTGTCGCTTGGTCAGCCTTTTGTGTGACTCCCAGCAAGCGAGAGACATCCAAGTATTCCAACACCCCAGACTGAGAGGTATAGCACGCGCCAATACAAGCGCACTCACGGCTAAACTCACTCTTAATCCGTTTTAAAAACATAAATGGAATACCAAAAAATATATATTTTTTAGATTTCTAAAGATTTTTCTCTGCTACAGACTAAAATGAGACCTTATAATACAAATGCATAGTAAAAAAAAAAAAAAAAAAAAAAAACTTGCAGCCCCCCACGCCCCCTGAGGCGCGTGATTCATTATTTAAAGTCGGCGGAATAACTAGATCAATTGTGACCTAATTTACGAATCCCCTCATATCAGACTGTGACATTCACATGTAGCTGGATTAGTTCCCACGGATAATCAAATATTAATAAGGTTTCGATTGCAGGTTCTCTAACACGGGGAAAATTAAATCAAATCACAATGAGTGGAGCATGACAAAAATCACAAAACAAAACAAGTGCGTGCACGAGAAAATCTGTATGTTAATAAGTCGACATTACTGGAGGTGTTTCAATGATTCGTAATGCATGCTTATTGCGCGCTGCTGTCATTTCATCTCATTAACACCCTGCGTTGCCAGCGCGTACAAAATGCCTACATGTGAATACTTTGAAACTTCACACTTCAGGAGAGAGGCTTGTTTCCTTGGTAACCGTTTTTTCCCCTTTTGTCCTTATGAGCCTACCAGTGCATAATGCTGCAGCTCAGCACATTCACCTGCATAGAGAGGGCTATCTCCCGCAAGCAAGCATTACACTTTTTTTTTCTTTCTTTTTTCTCAAAGCACTGCTTTTGTCTGGAGGTTTGACATGCATTAAAACATGCATCTCTAAAAATAAAGCAAAAATAGAGTTTCGCACATGCCCTTTGAAAACAGACAGCACTTAAAGCCCGGGATGCTCAGGGAAAGCGGGAGACCTCTCAGACCTGCCACTTTATGCAATTACTTTTAAAGTCTATGGTTTGAGAGACTGAGCAAGTGATTTCATGATTGAAAATGTTGAAATATAGATGCCGTGCTTACATAATTGATCATCGGATCTAAAATACATCTCTGAGCATTGGTGGTAACATTTAGCCATCTTAAATCTGTCTTTTGGTAGAATCTAAAAATATAGGAGCCAAAAAGTCAAGGAGAACCTTTAAAGAATCATCTGTGTGGGTGCTTTAAAGATACTATAATACAGTTAAAATGCATTCTTGCAGAGAGGTTTCTTTACTGAGCCTTGAAGAACTTTCATTTTTATATCTGAGCCTCTCTTCTAAATGTATACTTTTTTGTCTTAAACAGTGTCTTGGTAAAGAATATAAGGAAATACCTCAGTTTGACCATGCCTAAACAGTTTTTAACCCATTTAATTCCACATGTTCTAAGGGAGCATATTTTACCTCCTGGATAGCCCAATAAAACAAAAATCATTCATGGTCACAGTTATAACAGTTGCTCAATTTCACCCAATGGAAAGTAGCAAACAATAAAGTAACATTATAATCCATTAATCCAAGAACAGATTTGTTAATTTGTTTAATTCAATGTAATTTGAAATCTCCAAATGTGAATAAACCGATGGGCCTCTGGTTTTTCACATATGTGTGACCATGATTTATATGAGGGCAATTTACAATAATAATAGACCCTTTATTGTATGTACCAAATATGATATCTGTATCAATGAGATGTTTTACATTCTTCATTTGATCTTTCAGAGGGGCAAAAAACATAATATAAAAGCGTTCACATTAAATCAACAGTTGACAACTATTTGTAAAGCAGTAACCCGTATTAGATCCATTAAATTAAAAAGTAAATGGTCAGAAATGCTATCGGTGGGTTAGAAACACCGGAATATATTGATAACTGGTCGACGCGAGACTTGTCAAAACCATGTTTTTTTATACCCGTTTATGCTGTTATGAAAACACACAATTCGCATTTACTCCAAATGGAAAAACAATTCTCCCTCTTTTTTTAATTTCACGCATGGGCTGTTTGTGACATCGAAGCGTTTTAATTCGAGCATAACGCCAACGCGAGGTGCGGGGGCGCGCGTAAAAGTGCGCGCACAGCTGTCAGCACCAAGGACAGCTCCGCTGCAGAACAACAGCAGCCGACGCGCAAAGAGAAGAGAAGGACGATACGAGACGCATCACTGAATTCTGCTGCCAGGCTTCATGTAGTATGTGACTTTCTAGCTCTGCCTGTCTGCAGCCTGACTTCAAGGGGGAATTAAGAAAAAGGCTGCAGTGAATGCCGGTCTCTCAGATGCCATCGCCTAAATGAACTGGGCACCATGAACACATCGCCGCAGTGTGTGTGCATTTCGCAAATGGGATTCTAAAAATTGCCACACTGGACATTGCTTTCAATCTCCTCAACCGAATAGCCCCCACACGAGGCTCCGGCAGCGATAATAGGGGAGGATACTGGGGCTCTCCGTGCGCTCTTCTGGCCCTCCACACGATGCGTCTGCTTCTGCTGGCTGCGTTGTTCTCCTGCTCCTGCGTGCGGGGCGGCTGCGAGCCCAAGATTGTGAACATCGGGGCCGTTCTGAGCCAGAAGAGATACGAGCAGGTGTTCAAGGATGCGGTCACCCAGGCGAACCAGGTGTACGGAAGGGATAAATTCAAGTTGACCGCAATCTCTGTCACTCACAAAGCCAATGCGATTCAGATGGCGCTGTCTGTGTGTGAGGATCTTATTTCCAGTCAGGTGGGATTTTTAGCAACATCGTTGCACTGTGGAACTTCCATGTGGCAAGACCTAGTCTTATATGACATGACTGTAAATGTTGCCTGAGGGGTAAACATGTACATGCAATATGCACCCTTCAGAGTGAATTAATTTATTTAGCTTTCATAAGACAGTGTTTTGAAATGCGTGATGTTATCCGTTACAAGTAGCATTTTTTAGTTATTGAAAAGTGTACCATTAAATATGCAAACATGTGCATTAGAAAGAGCTTCAGATGCCAATTAATGATCCCAATTAATACAATTCTATCATCTGACCCTTAAAATGATTGATTATGATATAATATAACTTATATAATTACATACCATAAATCAGTTGATGTATTAAATAATATTTTGACTTGAATCAATCAAATTCATTGAAATGTTACCACATGAAGCGCATTTTGGGGTTAGATGGAAAACCCTTTTTATATATATATATTTTTTAGACAAATATTTTTTACAGCATATAGGCCTATTGAGGGGTGTTTTGTCATTAGAAAAATTTGCTAAAAATATCAGTTGATATCATGCATAAGGATTCATTTCTACATATTTTGACCCTTAAATTAGCTAAAATGCCTTAAAATGTAACCTAATTTAGCACCGTTGATTAAGTCATACTCAATATTTTTGACTTGAATAAAACCTGTAAATTCAGATGTCACCACACGAAGCACATTTCTTTAGGTTAGTAAACAAAACTTTAAAGTGTAGGCATTGACCTGTGGAGAATTGCTTGGGCAGTCGAAACTTGTTTTGGATTGTGGCAGTAGATTGAAGCTGCGTAACTCGTTTAGATGTCTAAACAGGACAGCCTGCCAGTTGATGATACACACGGGTCAATAGACTCACGGTGGGAGGAAAGGTTAACGTACTGTAGCTGACCCCGCAGAGCTTTGATGTCAGAAATGAGTGAGATGACCACACTTATCTCCCTCCACACTCATCGCCTAGGGCAGCAGCTGCAAAATAAACTAGGTGACGCATGAAAAATCAATGATTTTCAATGCAAGCAGTTTCTATTTTGTGCTTGATGAAAATAAAGATGGGGGTGGGGGGGGGGGTCAACATAGTGTCAGTATCTGCAAAGATGTCTTTGAGGAGGATGCCTCAGATATACAGCTAATGTCCACTATAAATACTGTAGTTACATATGAATAAACAGTTAAGATTTAAATAATGTTGAGATATACAAAGATGGATGGATGGATGGATCATTCAGTTTTGAGTTTTTTTTTTATAGCATGCTATAGCCTAAGAAGTGTAAGAGGAGAAACCTTTAAGTACTGCAGTAGCAATGTCCTACATGAAGTGTAAATGAGAGACTTTGTACACTACTGAATAACTACTGTCACACTCGTGGGAGTAATTCAGCCTGATGCGTTGCTTCATTAAAAGCCTGCACACGCAAAAGTCACATTAAGCGGCTCCGCTTTAAGTGCTCTCTGGGCCGGTGATGTCATAACAAATGTGCTGAGGTAGGAGTCTATCGTCTATCTCAGGGCTGGATACTGCACTGAACAAAAAAACGGGGCTGAACATGAATCACTCCCTCCCGTCCTGTTCGCTCTGCCTTGCTCATTCTCTCGCTAATATTCACACCAACCTCCCCCGGTCAACCCAATGGGTGTTCAGCACTCAATTATGTACATACCTTCAACAAATCTGGGGCCGTAAGGTTGTGTAGCATGTTAGCAGGATGTCAGGATAATTGCTGAATTAATTTGGTTGTGTGAGATTCTTCCATGCGAAACTGCTGTATCGCGACGCTCAGTCTGTATCGCCTTTGGCTCACTGATGTCTCTGCCCACTCTGAAGAAGAGACATTCTATGACAGATGGAGCCAGTGCCGGAGGGTCTCTCTGGAAATACATAATGTTGCCAAACCTTTTATTCTCGTTGTTTTTCCTTCTCAATACAGCATATTATTGAAAAACAAAAACAACGACTGAATCATATATCTATCTCTCCATGGTTAGCACTGATTATCTAACATTATTTATTGCTTTATATTATAATCCTTATTTACTGTTGGTTATTGTTATTTATTGCTGGTCTTATGGTTCATGCAGCCGTTATTTGTGCAATAACAGTGGCCTTTTTTTTAGCTGTGCAACATGACGCCCATCTACATATTCTGTTCCACTTTATGGATTGTTTAGGGGAAATACATGTGATTGATTGATTGATTGATTTATTGTGTGATTTGGAAATGCAGCATACACTAAACCCAAGACAAATTTCCCTAAGGGGACAATAAAGTATATTGTATTGTATATGCTGATGAAAACTAATCAAATGAAGTGTATAACTTTAGTACGATTGGAACAAAGCCTCCCTTTTACATATGATAGGCAAATTCCTCTTTGTCTTTCTTTGCTCCAACCAAAGATCCTTCAATCAATCAAATTGTCAATCTGTCTGACTGTGAAGTGATATATAGATTTAGTCAGAGAACGAGCCCAGATCCATGAGTCATACCAATCACTCCGTTGTGATCCAGTCTTGACTGTTAGTTTGTATTGAAACCAGTTCTGTGATCCTGTTTGCAGGTGTACGCCATCCTGGTGAGCCATCCACCACAGTCTAATGACCATCTGACGCCCACGCCGGTCTCCTACACCGCAGGGTTCTACCGCATACCTGTAGTAGGGCTCACCACCAGGATGTCCATTTACTCAGACAAGGTGGGCTGTATTGAGAGAGAAATTGAATTATTCAGTTTCAGAATGAATCATTTTGGGTGTTTATTCAACTATATAGGTCTCTATATAGGCTATAACTATATTGGTCTCTATATAGCTTTTAGAAAAGCACTTTTCATACTATCACGAGTTTAATTTGTCCGTTAAAAATGACTTAATGTGGCAGGTCACATGACAATGACAACATGGCGAATGCATTACGTCAGGATTACATACTACACACATTCATCATACTATATAGAAACTATTCTTTTTGGCAGTCGCAAAGTAATTCATTTTTCAAAATAAGTACCTACTCTAGAGAGTATGCGATTTCGGACGCAGCCGCCGTCTTTATGAATGAGTTATTAAATTGTTCATTTCAATGATTAGTTAAAAAAAACTGATTCAACAAAATAATTCTTCACGCAACCGATTTGTTCAGAATGGCTGAAGCATTTTTGGGTGAATTACCTATGTTTTATTTTTGTTTGTTTTCACACAATAATCTTGAAATATTATAGTTTTTAAAATGAATTGTTTTTATGGTGGATTTTCATAAATAGAAAACAATATTTAAAAACTAACATTTTTAAAAATATATATATATAAAAAAGTTTTTTTTTTTAATTCTTAAGCACTCTTTTATTTCACTAAAATAAAAAGACTGTAATTTTTAAACATCGTCTACCAGCTTTTTTTCTTTTTCTTTCTACCCTTCTTTCAGAAGCCATAATTAAAAAAAAATTAACAAAGTGAAAATTGCTGTAGTTCAGCAAACAACCTTTTATTATTTTACTCAAATAAAAACAGTGTCATTTTTAAACTTTATGTCTCCCACCTTTCTTCTCATCTCTTTATCCTTCTTCCAGAGCATCCATCTCTCGTTCCTGCGTACAGTACCGCCATATTCCCACCAGGCACATGTGTGGTTTGACATGATGAGGGAGTTCCGCTGGAATCACATCATTCTAATCGTCAGTGACGACCATGAAGGCAGAGCGGCGCAGAAAAGACTAGAAACTCTTCTGGAGGAGAGAGAGACCAAGGTAAGATCCAGTTCCAGTTCCAGGATTCCCAGTGCGTGCTTGTATGCAGACGTGTGTGTATCAATCGCAAAGGTCTTCTATGTACGTAACTGTTTTACTTTTTTGTCATGTGATCACATCTCTCATGCCATGTTGTAAATGTTGGCTAACATTCTAAAACCAAAAGCGTCAGCCATGTCTAATGTGGTCTGATTTGACTAAACGTGCGTTATTTGCTCATTTCATATTGCTTTCGACCATAGTCAAAAACTCCTGTGTCTATCCACAACAGGAGCAAAATGAAAACCATAACCTGGGGCGTTGCAAAGCATCAGGGACTCTTTACATATTTATGCCATTTGTTTATACACTATATAAACTGGTATTTTTGTAGCCTTGAGCCACAGATACTGTATAAGTCTATCATCAGTGTCTCATGAGGTGGTTCAAGATGTGATTGCTTCATGCAGTGGTGCATTGTGGGAATTTTGCTCTTGCAGAGGTTCTGCTCAGTTTCCTTGGGGATGAAAGCTAAATCACCATCCCACATCCCCCCTGCTCGGCGCTGAGGTAATTATTGTTGCCCTCATTGCTGCGAGAGATTATTAACAGTGAAACTATTTAGGTGTGGTGCGAATTGAGCTACTTTCCCACAGAGACGTTTCTGGTGCTGGAAGACTGTTGAAATACCACATGGCTGCTTTATTGGAATTTCTTCTCCCTTTTCTTCTTATTATTAATCAGAGGCATCATGCATATTTTTTTTTTCAAGGGGTCACCAGCTTTCTCGGTGTCCTATTAGAGAAAAGACATGAAATATGGGCAGAATGCGTCAGCAGTAAAATTGATGTAATGACTAAATATTTAATGTAAATATAATTATTCATTTTAAAGCGATTGATTTCTGCCACAGTGTTTAAACAAATACCTTTAATGCATTGTGCCATTTACTATAACATGAAAACCTATTAAAATATTATATATATTAATAAAAAAAAAAATATATATATATATATATATATTAGGAAGATGCATTAAAATATACTCTTTTCTTATTCATGTTTATGTTCGTAAATGATTAAACTTGATTTGTATTTGTCTTTATTTCTCTTCTTCTATAATATGCTAATTTAAAGCACAGATGTGCTAAATAAATCAATTTGCCTTGTCTTGCCTAGGTTTTTATCACATTTTGTAGTTGAGTCATTAGTAGGAATGACTCATTGCTATTTATCATGCATGAAAAGCTTCTGCTTTTTGATTTACTGCAATGCAAAATGATGTTTGATTAAGGCTTTGTGAAGTTAAAATCACAGTAATTCACATCATATTTTAGTGGGTCCTTTTATCATGTGTGCTGCAGTCGAGAGAAACCGTACACACTGGAATGAATTTACATTTTTATAAGAGCATTAAAAAGCCCACCAAGTGTTCCCAGGAAAACATTATTCCAGATATTTTAAACAATGTACATGTTAAATTTCTTTTATGCTTAAAAAAAAAGTCTTTATTTGGCCTTTTATGCTCTGCTACTGAAGTTTTAAATTGCCTTCTGAATCGACTTATAGAATAGTGTTTCTTTAAGCTGGAAGCCATTTTGTGGTGATTGTATAATGTGCTTTCCTATCAGGCTCTCTTTTTTATTAGAGGTGCAACTCCATTTTAGAATTCAGAACATCATTCTCTCTAAACTTTCAGGGGGAAAAAAAATTGTGGTACAACACTTTGTCTCTAGGAGAATACATTAAAAAATACACCTTTGTACCTGATATTAATATGCACCCTTCAGGGTTAGATTAAGCACAATGATGTATCACTGATACAAGAAACTAAGCTAAAGGTAGAATTATTACACAATTATTACACAATTATTACACTAAAACAGTGTATTTTTAATCGTACTTCTGACCTCTTTTCTAACTTATGTACAAAATTGTAGCTCCAGATATCATGGTAGTTGTGGAATATTTGTTATCATAATCTTTATTGAAAATGCAATAACTTGCTCTGAAATGTTAGCTATTCCTCTAAAGTTACTTACGCCGGTTGAGTTACTGGATAATAACCAAATAGCTAAAGTTTTAGCAACACCAATTTGCATAACCTTTAAGAAAATATTTATACCATAATCACTTTTAATAGTTATAGAGAGATCAAAGCAAGACTGACATATCTGAATGTCTGATATATAAATAATATGACAGGAAATATACAGAACAATACTGAAATTTCAGATTATTTTTTGCTTGCTGTTATATTCTAATGCAGTTCGGCATGAGACTCTATTTTTATGCACTATGCGCCAAGGATCATTTTAATATTCCTCCTACTATCAGTTTACACAAGTGTCAGTTATTAAGAGCTATTTCCAGCGAATGCACAGCGGGGTTCGTGGCTCCAGCATGAGTTTGGTTAAAGAGGTGCTCAGGAAAGGCCACTGCGTGTTCACCTTTCTAATTTCCTTTGAGGTGCCATAATGAGCAAATGCCACGACACACATATAGGTCATGCATAATTTCAGAAGCTTGAAAGGCGAATCGCATGAGAGCACGTCTGGCCTATCACGGTATTCGGGTAGTGTTGTGTGTCTTTGCAGGGGAGGTTTATTTATATCACTGCAAAATGGCACCGTTTGAGCCAGGGTTTCCCCCACGAGACCACTGCCCTCAAAAAATACAGCAGAACTCAAGATGGTGCAGGAGAAAAAGGTCCTCTTAGTGAGCTTCTGCAATCATACAGCACTCAGAAATATCTGCATTATTATTGAGCCATTTGTTAACTTGGCAGGCCGTCACAGTCTGTCATCTTAATTGAATTTGAAGTAACGTCACATGAATAATTCGGTAGGCATTCACGCGCTGCTGCAAGCAGTTGATCTGGATTGATGGAAATGCACCACTTGGTTCCTTAAGTTTGTAATGTTGTCGCGTTTTGCCATCTCTTGGTTTAGGACTACGATCTTGTCACACGGTCTATGATGTTTTTTGCAAGTCCCAGTGTTAGGGATTCAAATTTGGAGCAGAAAAGTGAAAATTTGTTGGTTGCTTTACTGCCCACCATTTTCAACTGTTTATAATATTCTTCTGTGTCTGCATATTTTCTCTGTGCACATTACTCATCAGAATAAAAAAAGGAACTATGAAAACCAAGACCAACTGTCCTTTGACAACAAGAGAGGACCTAAGGTATATTTGCATGGTCAATGCACGCCGCCCTCCAAAATCTCTAAACGTAGCTACTAGAAACAGCCCAACCAATCACCGGCCAACCCAGAAATGCCCTTCTCTTGGTAGCACGTGTTTCTTGTTACGTTGAGAAGTTACTTTTCCCTTTTTTATGATTTAAATGAAGAATGGATTTCTTTTGAACGTTTATTATTTCCGTTTAAAACAAATTAAAACGCTCCGCTTCTTTCATTACCATTTTTTTCCTTTTTAATAAAGGATGATGCATGACTCAAAAAAAAAAGAAAAAGAAAAAAGCAATCCCATTCCTTTGTGGAGATCAGATAGTTTGGGACACAACACTCTCTCAGATTGTACTTCCTATTGCAGCATCCCCTCGTTGCTCTTTTTTTTTCTCAACTCTTTTTCTTTGGGGAAATGACGTCCTCTCACCTGTCACTCCCCTTTCCACCTGGTTTTAGTTTCCGGTTGCATCGGTCTCACTCCCCGAAACCTCTAACTTGCACGTCCTTTCTCTGAAGCCTTGATAACCCTCAGTTTGCATGCGACAATGCCGAAGTTTTTTTGTTTTTCAAGCTTTTTTATACTTTTATTTTTCATTTTGAAGCAGTTTTCCTGGAACTCTATAATTTCCCCCCTTTTCAGTCCCCCCTCCCAAAAAAAAACAAAAAAAACAGAAACAACCAAAACCAACCAAAAGTGCTAAATGAGGCAGCATGGTTCAGTTATGGAAGTAAATAGCCTATTTGACTGATTGTGTACCCCAATCTCAGGCCGAGAAAGTGCTTCAGTTCAACCAAGAGACTAACTTAACTGCTCTGCTCCTGGAGGCCAAAGAGCTGGAGGCTCGAGTGATCATTCTCTCAGCCAGGTAAGAGGGTTACCGCATGTTATCTCAGCAGCCCGCCAAAATCTCTGCAGCTCGCTCTTCACTGTATAATTACCTGCAAAAGAGTAATGAATCAGAATGAGTCATCCACATATTTATTATTCTTTTCACCCTGCTGAATAGACCACCATATGTTTTAGTTGCTTGTGTTTCTAAAGGGAACGTACTAGGTTCGATACAAGACAAGTTAAATGTACAGAAATTGTGGCTTGATGTTTATTACCACAAAAGGAAGTTTCAATGGTTTCTCCTTTTCTTAACCTCAAGTGTCAAGTTATATTCAATTTTACAACTTCATTGTAGGGTGTTTATAATTAACTAAAACTATTAAAAACATTTTTGTTCATTGAAATATAGCTGAAAGAAAATAAAATATAAATATGAGGTGAAAAACTAAATGAAAATTAGAAATGCCAACTAACTGAAATAGGTTAGTTAGTTGAAACACTAAAATTACTAACTGGAAATAAATAAAAAGCTGAATTAAAATTAAATGAAATAAAAATGAATATGAAAAATGAAACCAAAAATAAAAGCTAATTCAAAATATTGATAAAATTAATAAATTCATTAAATAACTGCTTTTTTTGGCCATGAGAATATATTGCCTAAAACGGCCATAAAAATGGCCTACTTATGGCTCAAATAATATGCCTAAGATTTAATAGAAGAGTTCATGTACAAGTAAGTGCTTTTATAAAATTAGAAGGAGCACTAACAAATTGGCCCATTTACTTCCATTGTCTGTGCCTCACTCTATCCTTGATTTTTTTTTTTTTCAAATCAACATGCCACAAATGCTTTTGAGCTTGACTTGTACTGAACCTAACTAGCTTAACTAGCAAGACTTTATCAGAAAATCCATGTCAGCGACAGGTTTTGCAGGTGCACTTTGCTTATGCTGGGCCACCAGCAAGACCAGCACAAAAAACAGTTCTACCCAGCTGGTCTTTTCAGCAGGGTAGGCCTAAATAAATGATACTGAAAAGTCTAAACAATGGGTTTACAAAGCAATTTCATACTTCAGTGAGCTTCTCATATTTCTGTCAGCGGTTGTAAACCTGTCTATCTGCCTTTAGTGAGGAAGATGCAGCCGCCGTGTACAAAACAGCGCGCTTCCTGAACATGACAGGCTCAGGCTATGTATGGCTGGTCGGGGAGCGTGAGATGTCCGGTAAAGCTTTGAGCGAGGCCCCTGATGGTACGTACTGTACACCCGCCTCAGTATAACTGAGACAGAAGCAGAGGAAAAGAAGCCATTTGTCTCAGTTGTTCTTTTAACTTTGACTAGAGAGGTTTTATTGATGAAGCGAGTTGTGAATGTTAGTGTGTGTACGTGTGTTTGTATATAAATTACCCGTTTAAACATTTAAGCACTTTATGTGTTTAAAGGTTTTAAACGAGTCACTTTAGTTTACACCATAACGGTTGAGTTCTCTGGTTCACTGGCAAGATTAGTTACAATTGTACTCCATGTAGGCCTACTTATGGTGACCTCTAGAGGTTTAATTAAGAAGTTACCAAAAGGATGTTATTGTCATTAAGTGTTTGGGTTTTTTTTTGCTGAAAATGAAAATGTGTGGTTTTATCATGTTTATTATATTAATAGCCTGGCTTTCGTGAATTTATAAAGGGTGTTTTTCCAACCCTCCCTTTGACGTGTTTCTGGTATTGGTAAGCTATAAATGGCCTTTTATGTCCCAGGCACTGCACAAGTAATGTTTTTTTAACCCTCTGGTGCTCTTCTGACATTTTTTAGCGGACATGTTTTATTTTATTTTATACTTTATCGGAATGGTAGCCTACGAAACTTGGTAAAGGTTTTGGCATTTGCTGCTAGTGAACACAAAAAAAAAATCATAGACATGATTCGAAAAGGTTAAATTGTCCTGAAATAAATAGTCACACTTAAACTCCTCGCGGTCAAAAATACCCGAAATGTATGGAAAACTAATTTCATCTAGTGGAAACTTCTGGTATTGCGCCCAAACAAAATCTTACTGAAAGCAAATTATTTGAGATATCAACCTCAAATTTGGAACAAAACTTCATTAGATTTATGATTCTTACAGTTTTAGAGTAAATGTGTTTTGAGAAAATATATATTTCATATAAAAATTGAAAATAGTATTTTTGTGCATTTTTCATAACAATAAATGTAAAATTCTATAACTTTTCTTTAAGTTCACTTTTTAAAACTTTTTTCACTTAAACAATAATCTGCCATGTGTCATCTTTAAAAAAAAGACCAAACTTAAGTCTGTGCTCCAAAACATTCAAGATTTATGACAGTTTAAGTCGTAATAAAAAGTGAACAAATGGATAATAACTACAGCATAAATAAAACGTATTACCATAAAATCCGCTAAAAATACAAAATACAAAATAAAAAACATTATCAAACTAAAATATAGTAGGCTACATTCATTTAATTTAAATAATAAAAAAAAAACCTGTAATTTTAGACCGCCACATGAAGAGCACCAGTTCACACTACTGTCGTCGTTGTTTCTCCCAATACACTTGCTCACCTTTTACCCTGGCAGTGTTTTTCTTGTCTTTGTCCACACTTTTAACACTTGTTGAGTCTTCACAGTAAACTTTTGGAGATCTCTTACAGAACTGGATCTTTCAAACCCTGCTCCAACAACAAAAACTCAGCTGAAGTTGGATTTATATATGAAGTATACCTTAATTCTGATATATTTCATCAATCACTGTGTGTTAGTGTCTCACTAACTGGACAGGACTTACCACCATTTGGAAGTAGGTGGCGCTAGTGGGCTTAGTTCAGTAAATCCAACCTCAAGGGTCAAAGCTTGCATTTTGGGCAAAATGTCTCAAGTAACATATACCTGTGAAGGACAAAACTATAAATTTTACATGCTGACTCTAATTGGCTTAATCTACCAGTGGAAAATTTTTTTGACAAAACATGATTTGACATCTGATTTGAGAGTCACTTACCCATGCTGGCTCAAAGGGCGACCCTATGGGTTTTTTGCATTGGAAAGGGTTCATAAATGTCAAGGGTGAACAGCTCACTGCTTCATTTTTGACGTCAACACATAGGGCTGATTGGCCTCCAGCTCATCAACGGCAAGAATGAGTCGGCACACATCAGCGATGCCGTTGCCGTCGTAGCCCAGTCAATCCAAGAGCTCTTTGAGAAAGAGAACATCACAGAACCTCCAAGGGGCTGCGTGGGCAATACCAACATCTGGAAGACCGGGCCGCTCTTTAAAAGGTCTGTTCTACTAAAGATCATGCATGCAGCTGACCTGTTTATTCGATTTTCTATGATTTGTTATTATTTTCCTCGATGTCCGGCTTGAGGGGGCATCCGCCTCATTCTTTGATGGGTTTTGACAACCACAGGCAGATGTTCAATGTGATCTAATGCGCTGTCACATCACATGATATTTCATCTATGCAATTTTTCATGCATCACATCCATATACAAAAAGTTACTCAAGTGTCAATTCTGGCTGCACTCCACAGGGTATTGATGTCTTCTAAGTACCCAGAGGGCCTAACAGGACGCGTTGAGTTCAATGACGACGGAGACAGAAAATATGCTCATTACAGCATTCTCAACTACCAGAAGAGCAGACTGATTCAAGTCGGCATTTACAATGGAACACAAGTACAAGTCTTCTTTCAGTGTTTAATTTATAATTTCATGACATGGGTCCTGAATCATGCATTAGTTCCAAAAGACATCCAAAAATACATTTTTAAAAATACAGAGTTTCAAGCCAACACTAAGTATTTCCTGAATTGTATTCAAAGCCAACTCTGTAATGGCACTTTTGGAATCTATATAGGCAAATTATTTCAGATTAGAGGATTGAACAAAGATAATGATTATGACTATAAACCTGTTAATTATCAACTATAACTATCTTCATTAGGTGGTGATGAATAAGCAGAGGAAGATCATTTGGCCTGGAGGTGAAACAGAGAGACCGAGAGGATTCCAGATGTCTACTCGATTAAAGGTACGAAGGTCACTATGTTTATTAAAAACGTGCCAAAAAAATTAGGGCCATGAATCATAAAATGACCTGAATGCTTGATATATGTTTCATATAGGAAAACTGAACACAATCACATTCATCTTTTGCAGATAGTGACCATTCATCAGGAACCCTTTGTGTATGTGAAGCCAACTACGCTGGAAGGGACCTGCAAGGAAGAGTACACACCTAATGGAGTCTTAATTAAAAAGGTGATCTGCACAGGACCAAATGAGACCATCCCAGGTAACCCATCAGGGACGTTTATATTGTCACTGTGCTTTTCTACATCCGCCGTCTGGAGATACATACTGTACATACATACATATATATGCAGCAGGTATTTATATATGTATGAATGTAGCAAGTGTGACTTGACTGTGGGCATGTGAGTTTGTATGGAAGTCTGTTTTAAAGCCGATTTGTGTGTGTGTGTGTGTGTGTGTGTGTGTGTGTGTGTGTGTGTGTGTGTGTGTGTGTGTGTGTGTGTGTGTGTGTGTGTGTGTGTGTGTGTGTGTGCGTGTGTGCGTGCGTGCGCGTGCGTGCGCGTGCGTGTGTGTGTGTGTGTGTATGACTTTCTGCTTGATGCAAAATGTGTGTGCATGTGCTGGATGTTTGCAAACTATGTTTGTGTGTCGCTTGGGCTTCCATCGTAGCATTCTGCTTTGCGTATAGTGAAAGCTGTGGGTATGCCTTGTGTTGCAGCCTAGATAAGCTACAGGTAAAGTGTGAAAGTCAGTATGGAAGGATTGTACTTCTTTTAGATGATTATGCTCCCATCTGGCTATTGAGTCATTCTGACCACAAGAGTTGCAGCTACTTCACTTTAATTCAGCCAGTACCATAGATGAATTGAAAAAAAAAATGATTCGCAAAGCTTGTTCATATTTTATTCAGTTATAATTGCAAAACAATCTATGACTGGCTGAGTATCAGAGCGAAAGCTGTATTTGGAAATGGAATTGATCAGACCTCAATGCTGTCTTAACAGTTGAGAGCACTGCTATCTAAAAGAGAAAGACAATCTCTGAATAACTGAGTGCATTGGGGTGAGTGGAGTAAGAGTGCTGGGCTTTCAAAATATAGATTTTCCTCATGTAACTTTGTCAGATGGAATGACATTTCACTTTTTCTGGTTTGGTTACAGGACGCCCAATTGTTCCCCAATGTTGCTACGGATTTTGCGTTGACCTTCTGATCAAATTGGCAATGACCATGAACTTCACCTATGAAGTACACCTGGTGGCAGATGGAAAATTTGGAACACAGGAAAGAGTAAGTATACTTTTCTATTTTGTCAAGTATAAGCAACCTGATTATCATATGAAAAATTCACACAACGAATAATTTTGCTTTCTATTTATCATTCGGTGGCATAGGTAAATAACAGTAACAAGAAGGAATGGAACGGCATGATGGGTGAGCTCCTGGGTGGCCTTGCTGATATGATTGTCGCTCCCTTGACAATCAACAACGAACGAGCCCAGTACATAGAATTCTCCAAGCCTTTCAAATACCAGGGACTGACTATCCTTGTGAAAAAGGTACGATTAAACTACTCAAACTACCACACACTGTGTTTTCATTACAGATCGTCAGTATAACACTGTTGAAAATAGCAGCATTGCTAGTCACCACTTGCTAGTCTCGTTACAGTACTGCTGGTACCTACCAGAGCAGGTATTGCGTGAATGGAATGTGCTAAATGTATGTAAGTGGCCATGCAATGTGTGTTTCAGGAAATTCCTCGTAGTACACTGGACTCGTTCATGCAGCCATTTCAGAGCACATTGTGGCTACTGGTGGGTCTATCGGTACATGTGGTGGCGGTGATGCTTTACCTACTAGACCGGTTCAGGTACAACAAGACATTGGGTTGAGAGTGTTGCTAGCTGCTCCATAGGGTGCTGTGTGTGTGTTGTTTGTTCTGTCTTTTTAGGTAGTTTGTTTCACTAATTGGGATCATGTAGCACCTTTGTTTCAGGATGTCTCAACAGTACATAAGAGTGCTGAACACGTTTCATTGTTAGTCTCGCCATGGAGGTGGGGGAGGTTGAGTGGCTGCACTCTGTGAGCCTGTTCTCTTTTCCCTCTTTTTCTGTCTTCTCTCTGTCTCTTGGCTTTGCTTCCACGGCTTTATAATTCTCTCTATGGTACTGGCAAGTGCTAAGTGAACCAGAAACCAGACATTGGTTCTCATTGGGATACTGGAAAATTTGGTTCAAGACTACATATGGGTTCCTTTACCTATTTTCTTTCTGATCATGGTCACTGTTTCACCTGGTTTTTCCAGCCCATTTGGAAGGTTTAAAGTAAACAGTGAAGAAGAAGAGGAGGATGCCCTCACCTTATCTTCAGCTATGTGGTTTTCCTGGGGCGTCTTGTTGAACTCTGGAATCGGAGAAGGTGTTGTGAAAGTCAAACTTTGCTTCTGGTCATGTTAAATTAAACAAATCAATTTTATTTGACATATGTTTGACTACTTACATGTTGTCCAGGTGCCCCACGAAGCTTTTCAGCAAGAATTTTGGGAATGGTGTGGGCTGGCTTTGCTATGATTATAGTAGCATCTTATACTGCCAACCTGGCTGCCTTCCTGGTGTTGGACCGGCCTGAGGAGCGCATCACCGGCATCAATGACCCAAGGGTATGTTTCTCTAAGCACTTGAAGTACCAAAGTTAAGCTTTCTAAGATATATACAGTAAGTTTGCATTTTTTCCAGCTAAGGAACCCATCAGACAAGTTCATCTATGCCACAGTGAAGCAGAGTTCGGTGGATATTTACTTCCGGCGGCAAGTTGAGCTGAGCACCATGTACCGCCACATGGAGAAGCACAACTATGAGAGCGCCGCTGAAGCCATCCAGGCTGTTCGGGACAAGTGAGTCCCTGCTGGGTAGACACCAGCAGGTCTGGCCTCACGGTCAATCAATCAGTCACACGGTCTTGAGGGTCCTGGGCCTGTAGGTCTCAGGTATATAAATCAGTGCCAGAACTTTCTGCACTAACCTGTGACCCTGGCCCATATCCCTTCTCACGAGAGGCCCGGCTATGTGCCACACATAACATATATTAACAATAAGCTAAAGAACAACTTTTTCAGGTTTTCAGCAAAAACGTCATTGAGGGAATCCAATGGGGGACAAAGCTCCACTCGTCCGGCATTGGATTTCATTTGCCTATGAGGTTGCAGTCTAGTTTTCTGGTAACACAAGTCGCACAAGAGGGGTGGGTGGGGGCGGTTGCCACGAGTGTGTTGTTTCTCACTGTACTGTTGCACCGTAACCCCCCACCCTTCCCGTCCTCCTCCCTTCCCCCTGCCCCCACAGCAAGCTGCATGCTTTCATCTGGGACTCTGCGGTGCTGGAGTTTGAAGCCTCGCAGAAGTGCGACCTGGTGACCACGGGAGAGCTGTTTTTCCGTTCGGGCTTTGGCATAGGCATGCGCAAGGACAGCCCCTGGAAACAGAATGTGTCCCTGGCTATTCTCAGGTCTGTCCCAGCCGAAGCAGCATATTATATGCTTCTGTACAGTTTTATGTTGTATAAAATCTCATCATTGGACACTTAATCATCTCTCTCTGTGTATTTCCCTTTTCCATCCCTGCTCTGTATTCTGTGTGCTTGAACATATAAGTGTTTGTGCTAGTAGTTACTTTGTGGGATGTTTCGGTACTTTCTCCCAAAAGCAACTTATTAACTTTAGAACTTCTCTTCCTGCTCTCCACCACCCCTTGCAGTTCCCATGAGAATGGCTTCATGGAGGACCTAGATAAAACCTGGGTGAGATACCAGGAGTGTGACTCAAGGAGCAATGCCCCAGCCACACTCACCTTTGAGAATATGGCAGGTATGGCCCATTTAAGGTACAGAGAAACCTAAAAGAGATTGGACAAAAAAGGTACAGTAGGTAATGTATTGGGGCCTTTTTTTGTCCAATGCTTTTAGTTGTTGTTTTATGCTCACCTATGTTGGTGCTCACCTATTTGTAACAAACTCATTAAACTTTAACATCCATCCATTTTGCATGGTTTTCAGCAGCAGGCCCTAAATATATGGGCAATACATGTAGGATTCCATCACACAGAGGCTCCATCCCCTCCAGCTCCTCTATGGGTTGATTCGAAGAGTACTCTGTCTCCGTTAATCGTCTGACAGTCTCCTTCATCCCTCTCATTCACAGGTGTCTTCATGCTAGTTGCTGGGGGCATTGCAGCAGGGATCTTCCTCATCTTTATCGAAATTGCATACAAGCGCCATAAAGACGCCCGCAGGAAGCAGATGCAGCTAGCCTTTGCGGCCGTCAACGTTTGGAGGAAGAACCTACAGGTAAGGCAGCTCTCTCCTACAACACAAGCGGTAAAAAGAAGGGTGAACATGAGGGAATGACCTCCCAACAGACTTTTACATAAGAACTACTTTTTGTACTAGGGCTTTAGTTCACAAGTTTTTCATACATAACTTTGCAAAAAACAAATCCTTGGTTGCACTGTTAAACAGATCTATGATTGCACTGTTTGGTGTCGTGACCAAAGGTGGACGATCTTACTTACATTGCGTGTTCCCAGGCTTCTAAAAGGGTCAACAAAGAAAAACTTCCCTCTTTCCCATTTTCATGGCTGGTCTAAGATTGTCTAGGCATCTCTGGTTCAATCAGCCTCCTTCTTCTTATCTGTACCAACAGGACACTAAGGAGAGCTCAGGGAGTCAAGCTGTGGGTGCGGCTGGGACTCCATCTTTAGTATGTAAAACAAGCTGATCCGTCTTGTTGCCAAGTCATTCTTGCTACGCGAATTAGTATATTTAAAATTGCTGATATGCTTAGTTCATTAAAATATGAAGCTGCTTTCATGGCATGAACCACTTAAACGCTTCAAACCACTTTGCGTATTAAGGTCAGATGAAATAAAAATCCCTGAAGATAATGTAGACTGCAAAATTAATGTTTACAATATTAAAAAGTTAATGTTGATTGAGTATACTATTAGCGTACGTCATCAAGCTATACTAAAGAGAACAGACCGCTATTAAGAAAACAGGACAGAGCACTAATTGTCAGCATTAGCAACATATGTCCCAGCCTATACCATTAAAAACAGTGCAAGAGTTATTACATAAAACATTATAGAAGCCAATATTTCAAAAGCCTTATCCAGCACAAGTCCATGCTATAGTATAGTCTAACACAGTCCATTCGAAATGTCTGCTACAAACTCTTGCTCACCTGTGTGTCCTTTGAGGCCAATGTCTTCTAGTGGGAAGTCCTGGGAGGTCTTCCCAGTGAGACTGTGATATTTGGTGAGGGGTGGGCCAGTGGGATGGGGGCTGGGCAGAAGTATATTGAGGCTGTGAGAGCCTCAAGCTGCTTTTTTATTCAGAGTGACAAAAGGTCAGAACTGCTGCAATAGAATAAACAGCAGTGGCAGTGAAAGGTAAGATCACAGTCTCTTGTCTTTGTGAACAGGTCAATTTACTATCAATGTCTGTCATCTGCCTCACACAGATAATCGTCTCTGTATGTACATGCATGTAGGCTCTTATGCAGATAGGTTAAGCGAACATAAACTAGCGAGGACAAAAAAACTTTACATTTGGAGTGTACATGATCTATGCCTGATAAAAGTGAAGGGTTAATATTAAGCTATCACTAAAGTTAGTTTGTATGGATCATTCACAGAAGCGTATTAGAATGGTTTTGTCAGCTATTCCTTTCTGCATAGGAATTTACACAACTTTTTGAAGGAGATATATTTGAGAGCTTGCGTGCGTTATAAATATTTTGTGTGTGTACTTCAATATGAATGTTCATATCCAAATACCCCATTTGCACTTCTGTGTACTGCACCTTCATACAGGGATCTGCGTGTAACACACACACTGCACTTCTGAATAACCTGCCCAATTTGCAGTTTTGTCCACTGGGCTGTTCTGTTGTCATCTTAAAAGCGCAGAAATGTCAAAAACATGCTGCCCACAATTCAATGGTTAATGGTTGTCTCTTGGAGCAGAGCCCATTCAGAAGTGCACTGCCTTCAGGAAAATGAGAAAACAAAAAGGAAACACTGAAAAAAAAGGACGATACGAAACTAAATGAAGCGTGAATGTGCTCTCATGAGATACTATGTCGAGGCTTGCAGCCAGTTATGTGTCTCACTGTGCCGGTGGTCTACATTGTTTCAGCATGCTAATGCATAGACAGTGCTCTAACAACAGCCAAATGGGGCTTTTTGCTTCTTCTTTTTTTTCTTTGTGAAAAGCATAAAATTGATGCAGGAAACACAACAGTGTGTTTCGCAAAGTTGGAGATTTTTAATTGGTAGCAGGGGTCGAATGGTTTTCATTTTAAAGGGCAAAAACAAAGGTGAAGATGATCCTGAGCCAAAGTCCATCAGCCAAAGTCAACTGTATGCTTGTCCACATTTTGCTTACTTTATCCATACCCTTGCTCCTACCGCCCTCTGCATGAGTCTAAATGAAATTCACACCGTACTTATCCCAACGCTCCGATAACCTGATGCAGTACGTCCCTTATGTGTGGTGTGAATTTCCGTTATACCCTACAAAAAGTATAACGCTAAAAGAGGGTTCTTGTAAGTATTCATGTATTGATCAGTATTATTTCATATACTGTGCTCTTTTGCCATTCTATTGGTTGCTGTACTTCCCTATAAGAGTGTTGTTTTGTTTTGTGATATTACAGACTGCTTGGCTTTGATGTCATTATTTCCTCAGCAAGCTCATTCTGCTGCCTTCTGCTTTTGCTTATGGATCTTAAAGTCATATGATCTTTAAAGCAAGTGGATAAATATTTATTTATTTTTCTTTTTTCCTCCCCAATGCAGCCCTCTTCCTCTGTAGAGACTCAGGATGTAAGAATACCTTAATTCGACCTTTTCTTACACAAACACACCCAGTCTTGTGCATTACCTTAGTACCATTTGTAGAGGCCAGAGAGTAGCCGTGTGGGGCACGGGCACCTTTGTTGGACGGTGGGAGGGAAGGGTCAAAAAGGTCCTAATCTTCTTCTGTGCCTAAAACCATAACCTGTTAACAGCAAGTATTTATGAAACAGCACAAAAAAGATACCAAGGAAGATCATCATTTGAGAATTTGACATTCCTGCCACTCTTTGCAACCAAATCTGTTGCATTCTACCAATTCTCTTTATGTCAAACAAGTCTGACTTCCATTCCTATTTATAGCTTGTTGGGTTTAAGATAGTTTATCAACTGGGAATTAAGGGATGTGGTTTTGGCAGTTGAAAACCAGCCAGAGAACATGAATAATTGTTCTACGTATATTTATTTTAGGATAGGAAAAGTGGTAGAGCAGACAGCGACCCAAAAACGAAACCCTCTTTTAGGTCCATCAGTACCAACCTGGCCTCCAGCATCAAGAGACGTAGGTCCTCCAAAGACACGGTAAGGAGGTTAAGGAATGGCATCTCTTTATACTCGACCGGTCTCTCTTCCTCTTTCTGCGTCTGTCTTTCTCTCGTCCTATTCTTCCGCTCCTCTCTCTGTATCTACTTTCTTCTGTCTTAAATGACATGTCATGTCTGAAACCAAGAGAGCCGCATTTCTCTCTGGTTATTCCTCCATTCCTGGCATCTCGGCCACGGCCACGTGTCTGTCAGTCAGTCATCGAGTCACCATCCAGACCCCATCTGTCAGTTAGGACTTAAGAGCATAGCCATCCTTAAGAGTTAAGCTGAAAGGTTTTTAGAACCCAATGATGTCAGAATCAGGAAAAAAGTTCTAACCTAAGAGCTGTTCCAAGAGGAGGGGGCGCTGCACAATTCCTGATGTTTCTGGGCTGCTTCTCTCCCTTTTGCAACCTCTGGATGTGGAAGCGTGTGTTAGTGCGGGTGGACGTGTGTGCCTCTTTTTGGTGGGATGTTGTGCGTGTGTGTGTTTCTCGTCCGCAAACCTGCCTGACGTGATTGATATCATGAACAGTCAAATCTTGCAATGTTTGTTTCCCCGACGGCATGCTTTGGTGTTGTGGTGTTTGATCAGAGCAACCGATGCCATGCGGAATAACGATGTTCTTTTTTACAGCGGAACTTCCCTTTCAGAGTTTGGAATCATCAATTAACAATGATTTTCTTTTGTACAACTGTTTTGTTTAAGGTCCTAACAAAGTTTATTTCAAGGAATGAGAATTTAAAATGAAGATTCTGTCACCATGCATTTCCTCACCCTCATGTTTTACCAAATCTGTATGATTTTCTTTCTTCCATGGAACACAAAAGGAGATGTTTAGAGGGATGTCTAAGTTGCTTTTCTCCATTCAATAATAGCAGCTTTAAAAAGGATAAACAAACTATTTATGTGCTATATTCCAAGTCTTATAAATAAGTCACAAGACATGCTAAACTAATGTAGTTTGATATCAATGACATAAAACCTGGTGTGACGAGCCAAGTTTGAATGTAGGCGTGAATTAAATTTGAGAGCTATGAAAAACTTTCAGCGAATAATGGCTCAAATTTCAGTCTGATCCTCACACAAAATTGTGTGGCTTTGGAATATAGTGCTAACCACAAAACTATGATAATTTAATCACTACATAATAATTAATATTACTATTTTTTAAATAACTTAAAATAATAAATAGAACAAATGAATGTGCTGCCATGGTTAAACCTTTCCAGTTATTGATACAATGGATCCATATATACTATGAATTGGTATTTATACTAAATAGACTAAATCTATTTTCTGTTTGTTTTTTTGTTTAGCACTAAATTGCAATTTTTGTCACATTTTGTTTAGGAATTGTGTTACATTTTTCCCCCTTTTAAATGTTTAAGAGAATGGGGAAAGTGGGGTGGGGTGGTGAACGGTGAAGAGAAGGCACAGCAATCCAGGTGAAAAAGAGAAAAACAGAGTGACCATCCACAGTGTTTAATTCATCCTTTTATTTTTTTATATCAGTGTCGCCTCTCTTTCTATATAAGTGGATGTATATGGATATATAACTGTCGACGTCCCCCACATGATGTACATGCTACACAGCCTCTCTCTTCCTCTGCAAGCATGCAATATATCTGTCGTAGAAGTAGAGACTGTGTTTTGGTTGCCTTAGTAGAAGTAGTTGCATTTATTTGTGGTAGTGATGACACACACACTTTTTGTCTCTTTTGCTGATTCACTGTCTCTCACCAGGGGGCACTGTGGGCTTGATTTGGAAGTGCCAACAGCAAGCCTTCTGAGTGAACATAACAAGAACTCTCTCATTCTCTCTAAGGCGTGCTAAGGGCATTCTTGATGCAACACCAAGGAAGAAAAAAAAAAATAAAAAAAGCCTCCCGGTGTCATCAGAAGTATTGCTGAATACAACTGTTCTGCAATACGACAATGATGATTTTGACAATGAGAACCTTTGCCTTAAGCTTTAGCTTTTAGAGTTGTTGCATCATATTTTGAGCTTATATGCTTATTAATTGGCAATGCCATAGCAATAAAAAAACAGTAAGCTATAAAAGAGGACACATGCTATAATTAGTAAGGTAAATTTTAAATGCATCATTTATATGCATAACTGTTTATTTAAAAACTTACATCCAAACATTGCATGTGTCCTTGGTTTTTTCAGAACAATTGTGTTATTTTTTTAAATGTATAGCAATCTGGAAGTCTTCGCTGCTGCTTTTCCATCAATATGCATTTTTTTGTAAATGTATTCCTTAGGTATGTACATATATTTAATACTTCACATTTAGTCAGTCTTGATTAACATACTGCAAAAAGTGTCACTTACATCTTAACCAAAAAAAGCTCTCTGTGCCTCAGTTTCACAGTTTGCCACAGCAAGGAACAAAATAAATTAGAATTAAATAATACGGTCAGATCAAAACACTTTGCTTAATCAAAATGTCCTTGCAGTTGCAACATGGCAAGCCTCACTGAGAGACATTTTATAGCTTACAAAAATGGAAATTGAAAGCAAAAAAAAAAATTTGTTGTGGAAATTGCCTTCTGACTGGGCACCTGCATGTCATTGAGTGTTTTGCCAACCCGGCACTGCAGATGCCCATGTGAGAAAACAGCTTGTTGCCCTTCTAACACATATAAGCTTGAGATGAGGAAACAGGAACTGCAACTGAATGAGAATTAAATATATTATAGATATAAATATACAGTGGCCCAAAAAGTATTTAGACATTTAAGCCAAATTTAAATATGTATTAATGTCATTGCATTAGAGTAGACAACAAAATACTTCATGAAGGCACCTGGTATTTATTCCTGAAGAAACTCTCAAGTCAAATATTTAGCTTTTTTAGGTTTTAAATTATAAATAAAACAAATGTAACACTGTTCGAAATTAAGACAAAAAGTATTTGGACAATTTCTGGTTGTCAACAATTGAACCAACTATGTCCAGAAAAACTACAACTGTGTTTGTTTACTCTGATAGGGCGTTAGTTTGAACGTGACGGGAACTGATACTGTATGTACACTAGAAACCTCATGGAGCCAACTGGGTCAAAAGCAATTGTAAAAATAGCTTGGCAAAGGTCATTGGTTGGCATCACTGGTTTGCAGATGTCAGTTGGTTTATATTACATTATGTAATGCAATGCCATTCATATATATTTAACTAGTATCGCAAGTGTCCAAATACATTTTGACTTTTGACCCAATTCTGCTGATATAAACAAACACAAAGGTTATTAGGTGACCTAAAAAACATCTCACAGCAGAGAACCTGCTTCCTCTTCTTTGAATATTATTCTGAAAAAAAAAAACTCCTAAGGCAGCAGGATAGCTAGAAGAACACTTCTCCCACATTGTTTCAAATTTTTATAAACCTCCTTGGATGGTTATAGAATATTTAAGTGTTGCGTTCAATTGCAAAACACAGCCTTTAAAATGTTTTCAAGTCCTGGGCTAAAGGCAAAATTTAGCAAAATGCATTATGATGACATCTGTTTCTGATATGCATGCTACGTGCTGCCTTAGGGGTAAAGAAGGAAATATCTTTCTGGGATTTTGGGGAAGATGAAAGGTAACAGTCGCACTAATGCTCTCTGTCCTGTGTGTTTTCTACCTTCTCTCTCTTTCTACAGCAATTCCCACCCACAGACATTACGGGCCAACTCAACTTGTCCGACCCGTCTGTCAGCACGGTGGTGTGAGGCAGAGAGAGAGAGGGAGAGTTTAACATAAAGACATGTTCATTCTTTAGAGAAAAACAAAAAGGACCTTGAGAGGAGCGTTGTAGTACAACTCCTCAAGGTTTTGCACAATGGATCCATCACGAACGAGAACTACTGAGCCACTTCACCTTTATGGAGATCCAATGGGAACTGTCAGAACTTGATGGTGGACTGAAAGGAATGGCATGACACTGCAATGCACTGGAACGCTGCCAACACACAGATCATATAAACACATAAACACATTCAGCTTGAAGCTAAACTTAGTATACACTATCATCCTCATTCCATCCACCAGAACTTCTTCTGTATAAATTCTTTATGATTATGTAGAAATATTTCTTATTAGTATTAGTGATTATTCCTATGTTGATTTAGTGGTTTAAATATTGTACAGTATAATTTAGAACAAAGAGCAAAACTTTTCATGTCGCAAGGCCGATTCTAAGGCCGCTATTTACTAGCTGTAGTACGTATAAGATTAATTATATTCTTCATATGACTATTTATCTTCTTTCAATTTTTTCATTGTTTTACTTGCATTCTGTTCATTGTTTTTTATTCTTTGTCTATATAATCTATAAAGCAAAATGTCAGCCAATCAAGCACATAAGCTGTGCTGTTTCAAATATCATTGTCTTTCATATTATTTCTATCATCCCTCTGCATGTAATATGCATGCAAATTTGTCCCTCAAGGATTAGGGACAACAGAAATATTTTGTATACCCCTCCACATATCACAGAAAAGAGATATAATTAAAATTGAAGATGCACATGCAAACTCTCCTTCAAACTCAACTAGTACAAACAGTTCTTCCTCTTTAAAGTTCTTACGCAGTCGTTCTCAACTTCAGTCTGAAGGGTGCATCAAGGGGCCGAGTTTTTTCATCCAACTAGCACTTGGCATCTCATGCAAAATCATCTCTGTGTGTCATCCCCACAGACAACCCCAGAGATCTTTTACATGAGAAAACCCCAAGTGTGCCCCTTTATTTTCAACGCTGGTGCTGCAGTTTCGTACACCTATTGGTTAGATGGCAAAACTGGCCCGTTCCCAAGTTCTGGAGTTGAGAAACATCAACAAAAGCTGTACAAATAAGGACAGATTACTGTAAATGTTTACTTATATGACCTATGGAAACTCCCCTGTAAGAGAGATCACTTACCTAGCACTTTAATGTGAATCTGTCAGAAGCTATATGCATATGGAATTTATGCAATTTGCCAAATGTTGATTGTAATACTCGTACTTGATATGAAAATGCACATTTGAGAATGTGAAATGTTATATGTAACTGTCAGCTGTTTGATTTGAACAAAACACTCATTTTCTAGTTTTCATATCAAGAGATTTAGACAGATTTGTTTCTAACTATGTCAAATTCTTCTAGAACATACCACAAATATCCTCTGTTTACTAACTGTTGACTTCTACTACTTTAGGTTTTAGCCTTTTTAAACTGACAGGTGTATGCACAGTATGTTTTTTTTATTGCTTGGGTCAATGAATGTGGTTTGTACTCTAGAGGAACAATTATACCTGATTTCAGGGCATGTGAAATTTGAATTCAGCTCAAGTTGCCTGGACTGCTAGATTGTCATATGAAAATGTTGATAAGGAAGTGTTTTTATGAGAAACTGTCACACTGTAAATGACACACAACCACAACAAGATAAATTACATCACACATACAACACACATAGCCTGTGCATATATCTTACTTAAATAAATGCTACATGTTTCAGTTAATTTTTAGATATTTCTTCAAACGAACACATAATGTTTCCATTTTGACAAAAATATTTAGAAATAACATTTCTGTGCCAATAAATTTGTGCCATGTCAGTTCCAGACCACAACTAGCCTAATTGTCTTCTCAATTTTGTGAGCATAATGTGTGTAATATTATATTAACTCTAGAAATATCCATTCATGTTTTATATATACCTGGATATATATAGACCCAGTATTTCAGTAAATAAAGACATGTCACTATCCATTTCCCAGAAAGTTTAATATTAGCTACTGTGTCAGTTCAGGAGAGGGGGAGATGCATAAATTAGTCAGACGTCTACGTTATGGGGGTAGTGGTCAAAAAGTGACTTGTTTATCTCGCAATATGAATTTGAAAGTATGATGAAAACGCCTGACAGTCTATTTAAGAGGCGGTATCTATAGTGAGGGGAAGACTGTTCCTCTGCAAAACACTGACGTCTATAACAGGTGAGTTTGCTTTAGCCTTTGCTGTGCACAACTAAATGATAGCTCAATTATTAAAACATGTTCAGTCTGTCGAAATGAGTTTAAACTGTTTCACACCATCTAGAACACGACGGTTAAATTATCATCAGTAAAGTGCGCGAGCGTCGTGTCATCTTACCTGTTCTTACGGGGTCTCTTTATTCCACTGACTGAACGCAGATAGAGAGATTCTCCTATCCTAAACAAGCATTTTTCCTCCCCTAAAACGCTGTAGGCTAATTATCTTGCGTAAACAATAAAAATGAAAGTGGACAAAGCATCATTGATGGGGAAACAGATAAAGGAATTCTGTTATAGCTGGTTCATCGTTTACTTTTTTGTTTTGTTTTTGTTTTTGCTTTCACTCAAGCAACGTTTGCGCCAAATTATGCTGCCTGCCAGATACTTCTGTCATAAAACTGCCACCGCTTTCGTCATTGTCGTAAAAATTAGTTAACTGAAAAACCAATTAAACAAGCAACGTAAAGATTCTTAAAGCGTGAACAAAATACCGTGGTAAATTGTTATGGGTTAAGATTAGATTTATTTCTTAAGAAAATGCGAGTGGCACTGGTTTGTGGAAAAACTCACATTGCTAGGGGGTTGCCATGGCATTGCTACGTAGTTGCTATGTTTTAGTGCGTTGCTGTGCAGTAAGCGTTGCTGTGCAGTTGCTAGGGTGTTCTGGGTAGTTGCTTTACTGATTCTCTATACTAAGTTTCTATTTATGATAGTCTAGATGGCTTTGCCTTTGCTCCCTCTTTCAGCAGGTTTGTGTGTGTGTGTGTGTGTGTGTGTGTGTGTGTTTGGCCTGATAAACCCTAAATTATGGGGACAAAATGTCCCCACAAAGATGCCAATATCTGAAATCCTTGTCCTTGTTGGGGCGTTTTTTGGCCCCCATGAGGAAAACGCCAACGGCTTATAAATCATACCAAGTGATTAATGTAAAAATGCAGAACGTTTTCTGTAATGGGTAGGTTTAGGGTTAGGGGTAAGAGAAAATCATGAAAAATTATGGAAAGTCCCCATAAAACATGGAAATCCAAACCGTTTACGTCTATAGAATGTCCTCGTAATGATGGGTGTACGTGTGTGTGTGTGTGTGGTTGTTACTTACACTATAGGCTGCTTAATTTAACCATATCACTGTATGTTTCTTTTTCAGACACCACTGGCAGGTAGTAGTGATAGTTGCTCTGTGGACAAGAGGCTTTTTCTTTCTGTGATGATGGGTGACAAAGAAGCATGCTTATTTTTACCTGTTGCTCCTGCTGGGACTTGGATTAAACACTTTCTGTCCACGCCTAAACACTCACTGGAGGAAGCGTCCCACAGTGACCACTGGTCATCACACCCATTTTGCACCAGAAAGAGACTTGTGGTGGCCCTTCTGGTCGTTTTGGCCTTGGTTGTCATGTTGCTGCTTCTACTGCTCAATTATTATTGCATTGTGGTCTGGCACCTGTGTCAAGAGGAGGAGTCTGTTGTCCCAATATTTCAAAACACTACACCAGAGCTGGAAAAGCAGGACTGAGATGTTACATGTTTTCTTGTTTTTGTTTTATTTGGTCCTTTTATGCATTATGTTGCTGTTTTGTTTGTTTGAGGAACTGAAATGACAGTTTCCCGTGTGAGATTTTTGTGTGTATTAAGGAAATTATTCACACATTCAGGTTACTTAGTTCCTGAATTTTTAGTTTTGTATTTATTTAAATGGCATCCTAAGGTTTGTCATTACAGGTTTGTCACTGTAATGGTTTGTTACTGTATTTATCCATCTATTTAAAATTGTTAATCTTTATCTAGTGGTGCTTGAAATGTAGTTAAATACTGTTCATAAAAGGGTTCTTGTTTAAACTTTGTGCTGACTGCTTGTGAATCTTTAAACTTGAATGTTTCATGAGAATTTTTTTTCAATTCTCCTTACAAGCTAATGCTAACTCAAATCATAATACCACATGATTTGATTGTATTGTAAACACTAAAGCAAAAACAAAACCTTTGCCATATTTTTGACATCTTGTTCAATTTAAGATCAGGTTGTTTAGGCAGACTTAATTTAGTCATTCTATTTTGTCATGAAATGACATTACTGCTCAAGCATGCTATTTCACCGATGATGTCACACATTTCTTCATCCTCCCTCTTCAACACCAAACAGGAAATTCTTACCACACGTAGTGCAGTGTGGATACAAAGTAGGCTTGTTAATGCAAAGTTCTTGTGCTCTTGGCAGGAATTTTCCTATTCAGAGCATGCTTTCTGTGTCCGCTTTTGAATAGAGGCAGTGAGCACTGAATGAAGAGAACCCTTGTAAATAAATCTGTTCTCTGTCACATTAGTCCTGCTGCACAAGAATGACTCAGACTGAGGATTCTAGTCAGATGCACCAGTGAACACCTTTAAAAATCACAAACAGATGATACAAAAGATAATTTAGGAATGTTTGGAACACTCCCTGCATTCATTCTACAAGAGATTAAAAAAAAAGATTTTTAGATGTATTATTAGTGCAGGACATGTTGTGCTTCCACTCCAATCTAAAACAAACTTTGTTCATTTAAAGAATCTTTTAATATCTTAATTAAGATATAATAATGAATAATAAATATGAATTGTAAATTAAGTGTGTATCTAGATTGACACTGTCACAGACTGTTTCTATTAGTGGGGCTTGTAGAGAAGGGGTTGCCCTTGCTCCTTCACTATCCGGATTGCACCAGGCAGACCCCAACTTTACTGATGGATAAACTGTTTGTTAAGTTTGTTGCCTCAGGAACGCTCCTTCTGTTTGGAATCGTGTCTATTCTACTCCTAACTGTACCTATACATGAACTGAGAGAGCAGCCGCAGTACATGGTTAGTAATATTACTTATAAATTCTTGATGATTTCTTTCTTTCTTTCTTTCTTTCTTTCTTTCTTTCTTTCTTTCTTTCTTTCTTTCTTTCTTTCTTTCTTTCTTTCTTTCTTTCTTTCTTTCTTTCTTTCTTCCTTCCGCTTGCCTCCCTCTTATCATGATTAGAGGGAGGCAAGATTTTGGCAAATGGTACAAATAGGAATTGTGGTGTTTTTGAAATATGTTTTGAGCACACACTATGCTGTGCTAGTTGTGTAATGGGTAATTTATCTCTCAAAGTAGTTCTGAATAGTTACCTGTATATGATTTCACATTCGCCCTCAGATACTTACTAATTTAATATCCAATCTCTGGGTCATACAACAACATAAAATCTGAACAACAGATCCTAAGCCACAAGTACAAATCTGAAATTACATTATAACCAGATACTTAATCAGTTTTGTAGCCATGGGGAGGGAGCCTCCACAAGGTAAACATTGAGAAAAGTAATTTTGTTTCTTGTGAACCCTGGAACAAATAAAGATGCAGACTCAGAACAGTTTGTTATGCAGATTCTTCTGGGAATTGCATCTCCAAGAGTGTGTCATCGGTCACCAGGTGCATCTAAACCCCTGGGAGCTGTGGGTAAATAACTGTGTGATAGGTCACAGAAACACATTTTGTACAAATACTCATGCTATTGTACTGGAAACATGCTGGCTTTTTCAGAATAGTGGTTTCTGCAAATAAATCACTGTCAGAACATCTGTTATGACAATACATTAATCACATACTAAAAAGCAAACTGAACATGTGTCACTCTCTCTCTCTCTCTCTCTCTCTCTCTCTCTCTCTCTCTCTCTCTCTCATTGCAGTATGGGATTGTGCTGGACGCTGGCTCCTCACATACGGCCTTGTACACCTACAGATGGCCAGCGGACAAGTTAAATGGCACAGGCGTGGTCGCCCAGCACAGCGAGTGTCATGTCAAAGGTCAAAAGACTTGCTGAAATTCTTCAAATGTACAGGCAGATAAAGGGCGAAGATATTTGCCACACAGATAAACATCTAAAGCAAAAGGCATCTTAAGCATGTTCACACAAAAGCACCAATATGCATTGTGTTTCAAAATATTTTAATACATTTTCAGAATCAAAACTAGATTATCTAAAATATATTTTCACACGTATGAAACTATTTCACTCTGTGTTCTTGTATGTTTTTTTTAAGATTCTCTCTCTCTTGTTTATTTAAGTTTTTAGTTAAATAGTAAGTAAATAAATACGGTATGTATTTTGTGTTCCTTTGGCGCAGGAGGAGGAATCTCTGCTTATGCTGGTCAGCGGGGTGCAGCAGGCCGCAGCCTCGAGGCATGCTTGAAGGAGGCCATGCGGGACATTCCCCCAGATAGACATCACCGCACCCCTGTGTATCTGGGAGCCACTGCTGGAATGAGACTTCTGAAGTGAGTGTGTTTTTCTTCTTATGTTACTGAAGTTTTGAACGTTTTTATGCATACATAAAAAGAAAGATTATTTTTTAAAAAACTTTCAGGTTTGCTCAAATAATGTAGGCCTTGTCAGGAAGATTAAAGGGATAGTTCACCCAAAAATGAAAATTCTGTCATTCACGAGTTCCTTTGCCCATATAATCTTTAACCCATAAGAACCCGGACCAATTTCCCCTTACAGGAAAATTATGGGGCATATAAAACAGACTAAATGGACCACTTAAAACATGTTTCTGCCGTTGTTTTTTAAATACAACCACTCCTTGTCAAAGATCTGTAATGTTACATATATGTCACATTGGGCGTTTATGATGCATTTTTAATGTTACATATATGTCACATTGGGCTTTTATGATGCATTTGAAAAAAAAATAATTTGGTCAGTTTTCTTGCTAAATAACAGTTTTTTTCTGTTTATTTTCTTTTCCACAACATTTTCTAAATTATTACTTTTCTGGGAAGATAAAAAAAAAAAAAACTTTTTCAGATGTAATAGTTTTTGCATTTTATTTGCTTTGCCAAATATTTCAAAACCACACAACTGTGACCATTACATTTTACAACAACTGTTTTGTAACATCAAAAGTCAACCTTCTCAGGTATACGGTTTAATCATAAATACATTTTTAGATTATTTTTTCACAACTCGAAAATGTGCAAAATGAATAAAAATAAATAACTACCTCACACCGGAGGTCAACATGTTGAACATGCATGTAGTGCAATAACATTGCAAAATTCTACCTTTTCAGGTATACGGTTTAACCAGAAATAATTTTTTTGATTATTTTTTCACAACTCGAAAATGTGCAAACTGAATAAAAATAAATTTGGTGTTTTGTACCATATGTTGCATAGCTGTTTTAGTTACAGATATGCAACATATTTTCAAAATACATTTCATAAAAGGGTAAACCCTAAACCAACTTTCTTTAGTTAATGATCTGGGGCCTGTTTCAGAAAGGAGGTTAAGTGAAAACTCTGAGTATGTTAACCCTGAAATGAGGGAAACTCTGGGTTTTCTGTTTCAGAATGGGAGGTAAGTCAAACCTGAGAAAGCAGGGTAAGTCAAGCCCGTTTCTGAAAGAGAGGTAACTTATACTCAGAGTCAGTTACCATGGTAACTTACTCTGTGAACCTAACCTGGTCGGGAGCAGGTTTACTTCCGTAAACCCAGAGTTTATTTCGGTCTCCTCCCCTTTTTTAAAGAGGAAGCGGTGTTTAAACACCTCATTCATTCTTACGGTACATTTATTCATTGCTGTTTTTTTTGTTTTGTTTTTTGTTTTTTAAACAAGATGAAGTCAATATAACTTCTTAACTGGCAACTGAAAATACAGTAGATTAGAGTTACATCATGTAGTTCTAAACACATTCTACAGAATTAAACTGTGGCATTTACTGAAAATCACTGAACTGTGTTTATCTGTGTACCAGAAGTTGATGGACCTTCCTCCTGCTGTTCTTCCACACTCTGGGGACAGGGGGAGAGATAAGAATATCCGTTTATACTTAGAATTAAACTTAGATTCTATAGCCTACTCTACATAAATAATGTGAAGAAATTTGAATGTGTAGATTGTTTGATGTGTAGACAATATTAACATTTCCTAGTAGGCCTCTCTGTGGCAGCAGAAACTGTTTCTTCATCCCCATCGTCCTGTGAAGATGAGCATTTGATTGAGCACATTTTATAATACTATTTGTCATAATTTCTGCCTGGTGTATTGAGTAGGTTACTTACAACTGTTTGGGGTTCTGTTGGGACATGAGGCTCCAAAAGACAGATATTACCATCAGAATCAGTTGGGAGCAACAAAAAACCCAACCCAAAGTAAAATATATGGAAATATCAAAAACAGCCTATATAAAAAATAACACATATGTAGACCTCTTATAGATTTTATGAAGGCACTTGAATCTTCGGGAGTGACTGGCTCTGATGAAGTCCCTCCAGGAATTCCCTCAGCCATTGACCTTCCAGCATTCAGGCTCAGGGCCATCTCCATCTCCTCTGCATCTTCATCTCCTCTGCATCTCCATCTCCTCTGCATCTCCATCTCCTCTGCATCTCCATCTCCTCTGCATCTCCATCTCCTCTGCATCTTCATCTCCTCTGCATCTCCATCTCCTCTGCATCTCCATCTCCTCTGCATCTCCATCTCCTCTGCATCTCCATCTCCTCTGCATCTTCATCTCCTCTGCATCTTCATCTCCTCTGCATCTCTATCTCTTCTGCATCTTCATCTCCTCTGCATCTCCATCTCCTCTGCATCTCCATCTCCTCTGCATCTTCATCTCCTCTGCATCTCCATCTCCTCTGCATCTCTATCTCCTCTGCATCTCCATCTCCTCTGCATCTCTATCTCCTCTGCATCTTCATCTCCTCTGCATCTCCATCTCCTCTGCATCTCCATCTCCTCTGCATCTTCATCTCCTCTGCATCTCCATCTCCTCTGCATCTCCATCTCCTCTGCATCTTCATCTCCTCTGCATCTCCATCTCCTCTGCATCTCTATCTCCTCTGCATCTTCATCTCCTCTGCATCTCCATCTCCTCTGCATCTCCATCTCCTCTGCATCTCCATCTCCTCTGCATCTCCATCTCCTCTGCATCTCCATCTCCTCTGCATCTTCATCTCCATCTCCTCTGCATCTCCATCTCCTCTGCATCTCCATCTCCTCTGCATCTCCATCTCCTCTGCATCTTCATCTCCTCTGCATCTCCATCTCCTCTGCATCTCCATCTCCTCTGCATCTCCATCTCCTCTGCATCTCCATCTCCTCTGCATCTCCATCTCCTCTGCATCTCCATCTCCTCTGCATCTTCATCTCCATCTCCTCTGCATCTCCATCTCCTCTGCATCTCCATCTCCTCTGCATCTCTATCTCCTCTGCATCTCCATCTCCTCTGCATCTCCATCTCCTCTGCATCTTCATCTCCATCTCCTCTGCATCTCCATCTCCTCTGCATCTCCATCTCCTCTGCATCTCCATCTCCTCTGCATCTTCATCTCCATCTCCTCTGCATCTCCATCTCCTCTGCATCTCCATCTCCTCTGCATCTTCATCTCCTCTGCATCTTCATCTCCTCTGCATCTTCATCTCCATCTCCTCTGCATCTCCATCTCCTCTGCATCTCCATCTCCTCTGCATCTCCATCTCCTCTGCATCTCCATCTCCTCTGCATCTCCATCTCCTCTGCATCTTCATCTCCTCTGCATCTTCATCTCCTCTGCATCTTCATCTCCATCTCCTCTGCATCTCCATCTCCTCTGCATCTCCATCTCCTCTGCATCTCCATCTCCTCTGCATCTCCATCTCCTCTGCATCTCCATCTCCTCTGCATCTTCATCTCCATCTCCTCTGCATCTCCATCTCCTCTGCATCTCCATCTCCTCTGCATCTGCATCTCCATCTCCTCTGCATCTTCATCTCCTCTGCATCTCCATCTCCTCTGCATCTCCATCTCCTCTGCATCTCCATCTCCTCTGCATCTTCATCTCCATCTCCTCTGCATCTCTATCTCCTCTGCATCTCCATCTCCTCTGCATCTGCATCTCCATCTCCTCTGCATCTTCATCTCCTCTGCATCTCCATCTCCTCTGCATCTCCATCTCCTCTGCATCTCCATCTCCTCTGCATCTTCATCTCCATCTCCTCTGCATCTCCATCTCCTCTGCATCTCCATCTCCTCTGCATCTGCATCTCCATCTCCTCTGCATCTTCATCTCCTCTGCATCTCCATCTCCTCTGCATCTCCATCTCCTCTGCATCTCCATCTCCTCTGCATCTTCATCTCCATCTCCTCTGCATCTCCATCTCCTCTGTATCTTCATCTCCATCTCCTCTGCATCTTCATCTCCATCTCCTCTGCATCTTCATCTCCATCTCCTCTGCATCTCCATCTCCTCTGCATCTTCATCTCCAGCTCCTCTGCATCTTCATCTCCATCTCCTCTGCATCTTCATCTCCATCTCCATCTCCTCTGCATCTTCATCTCCATCTCCTCTGCATCTCCATCTCCTCTGCATCTTCATCTCCAGCTCCTCTGCATCTTCATCTCCATCTCCATCTCCTCTGCATCTTCATCTCCATCTCCTCTGCATCTCCATCTCCTCTGCATCTTCATCTCCATCTCCTCTGCATCTTCATCTCCATCTCCATCTCCTCTGCATCTTCATCTCCATCTCCTCTGCATCTCCATCTCCTCTGCATCTTCATCTCCAGCTCCTCTGCATCTTCATCTCCATCTCCTCTGCATCTTCATCTCCATCTCCTCTGCATCTTCATCTCCATCTCCATCTCCTCTGCATCTTCATCTCCATCTTTGTGAGCCTCTTCCTTCTTTCTGAGTAGAATTCAAATGAGAATGAACATTTAATTGTGTTAATTAGACCTATGTCAAAAATGCTTTTGCACTGCTAAACACTGGATGCTATTTAGTTATTTAATATGTCAAATGTTTGTAAAGTCAGGTACCCTACATCCATGATATGCTCAAGCCTTACCTGATTGAATTATGTTTTTATATTTCATTTTCAACTGCTGCCATGTTCTTTTAATGCCTGCAGGATTTCACCTATAGGCTACGTGAAAATTAAAATTAGGTTGAATAGCATACTGTTCTTCCACTTTCACCTCTGATATTATAACAGTTGGGTAAGTTACTCTAAAATAGTTATTAATTACTAACTACAAATGACATCTTCAACAGTGTAATTAGATTAATGTAATAATTACTATCTCTAGAAAGTATTGGTCTACTAATTACTTTCTAAATCCCATATCAACCTCAACCACTTGAACAATACAAAAAGAGACAAAACTGCACTTTTAATGCTTTCAAATTAACAATAGACAATTGCATGAATTATTCTTGAATTGGCCAAAGTGTGTAGAGAGTGAAGGTTACATTAAAAATATACCTTTTAAAAATGTTATGTTAAAGCCACTATTGTTTTAAACAGAATTGTTCTATAGTCTATGCAGTATTTAATAAAATGACATCATATTTTACTTTATATTACAGAAGAATTAAGAGTAATTCCTTTACCTAAATGACAGTATTTAGATTACTTGGTAATTACACCCAACACTGTATAACAGTAATTAAAATGTAAACTTACACATTGATTCGAGCTACTGTTTTCTCCCAAACTAACTCTCTCGATCGCCGCTGCTGCCGTGTTACTAAAAAAAAAAAAAATTGCGTACTGCTGGTGAGAAATATGCAGACCTCTTTTTGTCTGGCGCTGTTACCATGGTGACTCATAATATCTGCGCTCCATTGATAATGGCTTTTTATAGTTGTGGTGCACGCGCTTAACTCAGAGTCAGTCAACTAAAAGTTGATTGAACTTACTCATTTCAGCTGTTCTGTAACCGAAAACTCAGAGTTTCCCATCTTAGGGTAAGTCAACTCAGAGTTCAAGTTTTAACTCAGAGTTAGTTGAACCTCCTTCTTGAAACGGGCCCCTGTAAGACTGGGGCTTTATTATTGCTGTTCATTGATTCAAGTAATTTTTTGGACATTTGGCTATAAAGTGTTTTAATTCTACAATATATGGTGTAAAAACATCTGAGTGCTGCCCTCTTCAGGTTGAACGGTGGCTACTGCAGTTCAATTTTCAATTTGTGGTGCCCTGTGACGTAAGCAGGCACAAGCTAACCACACCCCTGCCTACGGAGAGACCTGTCTCAGGTGCACGCCCCTCCCTCCGCTGGCCTCTGCCCACTTTTCCAGCATTTTTCAAATATTGCCAGTGGGTGGAGTCAGGCTCTGACCAGGGGTTTAGTTACCCTTTAACAATGTTATTAATTTGACATTTTTTTGTTTAAAATATGCTTTGAATTGAGCAGCAGATTATATATAATACTAAAATAATTGATTCATCTAAATTATTTGAGCAGCTCATTAGCATTTTTCTTAATGTGACACATACGTCACATCAAAATTCCACCTACTCTTTTACTGTTAAAAAGCCTGATGTGACACATATGTCACAACAACAACATTTTCAAAACTTGTTTTATATCAATTGTACAAGAAACGTTTTAAAATCAGGTCAAGTGTAATCTAGGATATGTTATTAAAACATTAGAATTGTTGCATGGGTTGAAACATACCTTTAGTAACAAAAATAAGTGTCTTTAAAAAGTGCTGACACTGCAACATGTGCACACCAGACAGGCCACCATTTTGGAAATGTTGCCACATTGTCACATGACTGAACCTGGATGTTCCTAATATGTCCCTTAGGGACTTCCTGGGTTGAAAGTGAGGTATAATCGTTTAAAAAAACCTTTTCCAATGATCATTAGTGTTTGTGACACCCACGTCACATCGGGTTCTTAAGGGTTAAGCTAATAAGGTTAAGCGCATTTGGCTTGCTGTCCGCAGTGGAGGGGCTCAAGGAAGCAGCTTAAACTCAAACTAAGATACCCCCCAGTGGGACTACTAATGCTTGGATGATGAGTATGGTAGCAAGATACCTAAATTATGTTGGTGGAGTTGGGGAGGTGGAGGGATGCCAAAACAGCTGATGCCATGCAAGGTGAGCGGCTGCTTATATGCTCTGGCGGTTAATTGGAAGTTCAGATGGGTTCACTCCTCCCGAAAATTACGTTGTGAACTTCACTAATTTACTCAGCCTCACGTTGTTCCAATCCTGAATTAATTTTTTTCTTCTGCTGAGCACAAAAGAAGATATTTTGAAGAATGTTGGTAACCAAACAGGCCAAGGCCTCCATTGACTTTCATTGTATTTTTTCCATACTATGTAAGTCAACGGGGCCCTGGGCCTGTTTGGTTACAGATTATTCACAATATCTTCTTTTGTGCTCAGCAGAAGAAAGAAAAAATGTAAATAGTAACATAAAAAAAGAAACAAATTTGAGGGGAACTGGCTTAATTATTGGAACCAGTTCATTAAATAAGAAAATAGAAGTTAGTTCTATAAGAAGAGGTATTTGCTTTTTGGTTTTGTGTTGTCTAATTCGTATAAATTTCTGGCATGAAACTCCAGATGGTGCAGGCTGATAGGTCTTTAACTCAACCTGCCTGCAATCACATCATTCTCTAGAGGGCACAGCTGATTGGTTCCTGCTGTTTCCACAGTTAGCAGCTTGCTGCTCATCTTTCAAATACTTGGTCAGTGTCTGCTATAGCTATTTGCAGCACACTCCAGAAACCCTCCTCCTTCCCCAGCTCCACTTGTACAGATCTGTTACGGGTCAATCATGTATAATCATCTATATTGTACAGCAACAGCTTGTCTTACTTGCTCACAGCAGCGTGTTGTGATGTATCGGCAGTAGCAAGTCCCGTATTGCTCTGCAGCAGCAGTGTAGATCTATTCCGCCAAGACAAAAACAACTGCAATTGCTAAAACAACTGATTTAGTTGGCCCAATTCCTCGAACCATTCATTCAGTTCTCAAAACAAAGACAGACAAACTATTAACACATTTCACCTGTTTTCAGACACATTCCAATTTTCTCAATGTTTTCTGCAAAAATCTACACAAAATTCCCTCATTTTGCACAGGTTTATGTATCAATGTTCTCATTCAGAAAACACAAACATATCATAATTAACTCTAATGCCACACTGTGAACTCAAAAAGCACACATTTATCCATTTGTAAACATTAAGTAGCAAAACTGATGACACATCAATCAGAATCTCAGGATAATATAGGCCCACAGGTGATTGGGTGCTTTAGAGAATGGGAGACAAAGAGGAAGAGGAGATGAAAGGAAAAGAGAAATGAAGGGGACGGGGTCAAAGGAGATTTGTTCCTGATGAAATTCAAAGCACTATAGTTGACCATGGTCTTGTGCATGGAGTGATCATGAGGGAAGTACACACACACTCATCTACAGGGTTTTTACTCACACATACAGTACAGGATAATTACAGTACACAAAACAACAGCCGTACTTTGACAGAACTTTCAATAGTCTATGTACAGTAATAGTCTATGTGCCATAACAGTAAGCACATGTTGTACGCCCTCAAACTCGTAATTGTTAAAATGATTTTAATTTGTAGCCAATTACATCTTACATATACTGTACTGTATATTGCAGAACTGAGAGGCAACTGCCTAGGGGAGGGATAGAGGATGGTATACTGTATTGTGTTGCATACCGAGTTCACGTTCAACCTATTTGAATTTTTCTTTTAGTGCTTTTGATCTACTGTAAGATTACTTTACTTTACAGTACACAGTACTTAAAGTAAAGGACACTTTTTGAGTATCTGTACTTTACTTGAGTATTATTTTTTTCTGGAAACTTTTTACTTTAACTTCACTTCATTTGAAAGACAAATATCATACTTTTTACTCCACTACATTGCTGTCAAAGTCCTTGAGTAGAAAGTGGTAACGTCAGTCAGGGGATGATTTTGGTTGGAAATGAAAGTCGGGTTGATGTCAGAACACGATTGATGTTGGTTTCTGAAATCTACCTGATTTTCATTTTCAACGTTGGGTTTGGTCGTGTAAAGGCGGATTTTGCCATTGGTTTGGAGCACACTAGCTTAAAGATAGCAGTACGGCTAACATGGGCCTATTCAGACTAAAAGCCAAAAACTTTTCATAGAGACTTTAAATAGGGCACTATTTGAGGGAACAGCCATTAGGGTGTCCGAAACCATTGTGGACGTTATTGAGTGCACTTATTCAATCTCACATTCAATCCCACTACTGGAACTGTGTTCTAGAAATACATTTGATATTGATAATGTGAGGGTATGGGGGCGATTTCGGACACAACATCTGATTAACATGAATATTATGACTAGTCTTCTCGACTAGATGTCATCCTTTTTTCTTTTTTCTTTTTACCCTGTAGGATGTTACAACAGGTGACCTTATGTGACTAAAGTTTGATTGTGACAAAAGAGACAAAAATGTGTTTTTGACTAAAATGTTTGATTTTGTCATTGAAATTTGTACAAGTTGGTGCGTAGTTTTTATATTGTGTTTATATTTGAGAAAATGGTGAATTATTTCATGAATTGTGTGTTGGCAATCGAGAAAAATTGTAACATTGCCATTTCCATTACCATGTCAAAAACTCAAATTTAGAGTCTTAAGTGTTCAAAAACCTTTTGGGGCCATTGTAGACTATATTCTGTCTCTAAATATTTTATATGTAATAATATTTGTGGTCTGCCAGAACGACATTTGCTGTTGGATTTTTTTTTTTTCATCCTCCAAATACATTTAATTTTCACTGTCTTTCACTCTCTCCAGAATTACCAATCCCGACAAAGCATTTAAGGTTCTTCAAGAAGTCAAACAAAAAATCAAATCTTTTCCATTTAGCTTTCGAGGAGCAGTCATTTTGAGTGGTCAAGAAGAGGGGGTTTACGGTTGGATCACTGTGAACTACCTCCTTGAAAACTTCATAAAGGTACTTTCATTCTGTTAGAGTATGATCTTTTCTCGTCAGTGAAAGTCAATAATTATACTTAAGCTTTGTCACTTCTTTTCAAAACAGAGTTCTAAATATTAATCCAGTGTTTTGATTTATGGTTACCAGTTTCTCAACTGTTTGGGCCATCTAGTGGCCGTTTTCTGTCTTTGTTTACTCATTTCCACACTATGTAGTATGGCTATGTGGGCCGGTGGCTTAACCCTGGCAGAAAAACGGTCGGAGCGCTGGATTTAGGTGGGGCGTCCACACAGATCACCTTTGAGACCCCAGAGAAAGTTGAAAACGAGAGAAACCATATGACCTTGCGTCTCTACGGGAAAGATTATTCCCTCTACACACAAAGTTACCTGTGCTATGGTAAAGAAGAGGCTCTGCGCATGATCCTGGCCTACCTGGTTACAGTATGATGCATCACAAATCAAATGATACTGCAATATGTTATGTAGACACTTTTTTTATTGGTCATAAACAAACTTCTTTGGATTCTTTTTGTCCTGTGAGTAAATAACATCACAGTTAACACTCATCTATGTCTTAATTTCAGTCGCAGGGTAATACTAGCAAAGTGTATCATCCCTGCTACCCATCTGACTTCACTGATGTCTTCAAGCTGGAGGAAGTGTTTGACTCGCCTTGTGCAGCGTCAAGGAGACCCAAAACGTACGACCCTCATTCGTGGATCAGAGTGCAAGGCACCGGGGACTACCAAAGCTGCCTTGGCAACACTTCTGAAATATTTTCCTTCCACTCCTGCCCCTTTTCTCAGTGTTCCTTTAATGGAGTTTTCCAGCCCAACATCAGTGGGGGCTTCATGGTGAGGGGCCCAGAAATGGTCATATGAGTTTAATAGAATAGCATCTTATGCATTTCTCTTTCTTTCAGGCCTTCTCTGCCTATTTCTTCACTCACAGTTATCTCCAGCAAAGTACAGGGATAAAGATCAGCACCTCTGCTCAGCTAGAGGAGGCTACACAGGCTGTGTGTAATATGACCATTGAAGAGGTATCATTTTTGAGTGTGTGTGTGCATATTTGTGAGAATATCACCATTTGCCAATAAATCATGCCAATCATTCATTCTTCATCCATTGTACAGTAGAAATAAGAATGAGGTTACTGTAATTTGCATTACAGTAACGAGAATTTGAGAAGATTTTTTTTTTTTTTCATGAAAACAATGACAATGAAAGAGATCTTAATAGGCCTATATATGAGAAAGAGATTTCAGGGTGAAATATTAACTGGATATTTTTTAGACAGTTTATGAGATTGACAAACATATATCTTACTAGTCGTAAAAAGGTGAGGTACTGCTCATAAAAAATGTGTGTCTGCTTGTGATAAATACACTGCCGCATTGCATATCTGAAGTCCTGTAAATCTAATTCAAATCCATATCTCCTGTTCATTATAGATGACCAAGAAAGCCCCCGACTTGAAAAAATACCTGAAGGATTATTGTGCAGTTGCAGTGTATATACAAGTTCTAATGCTTAGGGGTTATAGCTTTGATGAACATTCGTTCCAAAATGTTGCTTTCCAGAAAAAGGTGAGTTTATCAACATGGTGGTGATACTGTATATACTTGTACATAACAGAACCAGTTTAACTTCTGAATTGGGCAAGACAAACCATTTTTCCAGTTTGCTGCTGATTAAAATGCAAAATTTGACAATTATGTGACTGTGCAGTACGCAAACCCCCCAAACCAAACTTTCAATCTCTACTATATGTTTTAGGCAGGTGAGGCCTCTGTGGGCTGGGCTCTGGGTTATATACTCAGTGTGAGCAGTCTTCTTCCAGAGGAACCTGTGGGGATCAGGAAGGGCTTGTGTCCTGCGGCATGGATCGGTTTGTTGATTCTCCTAACCGTCCTCCTCACTGCCACCGTCTGTTACATGGCTCTCCTAGTGATCCGGAAGAAAAGGAGGAATGGAGGTGTCTCATAGCGCACTCTCATACAGTTATTTTCTGTGTTTTGTTTCTTTGTTTGGACAGACTTGTCTTAAAATACTCTCCACAAAAATTATTAACGCATTCCTTTAAATGGTCAGTGATAATATTGTGTATCTAATTTAACAGAAAGACTTGTTTGTTTTGCCACTGACAAATGCGGTTACTGAAAGATATGATTTATGTGCTGCATCAAACCATATGAAAGTAGTTTGAAATTCAATTCAGGAGAAAAGGAATTAATAATTCTAAATGCTATAATATGAAATATCCTTTATTATGTTATATCATTTGATTCCATCTTATTGTACCTTCCACAGTTTTATGTCACTATTTTAACAGATTTCAGTTGATTTCTTAGTCTTTTTTTTCTTGTATTATACACTAATCAACTTTATTCAATGTCTTTATTATATGTCTTTTCTATGAGAACTGTCTCCAGTGTCTTCAGTGATCCAGAACTGTAGTTATTCGTCTCTATTTTTGCCCAGTTCATATTTGTCTTCAGTTAATGTATAAGAAAAGCATGGCATTTCACCTGTTTCTCAGATTGAAGGAATAAATCATAATGTTAATAATTCACTTCAATTCATTTCAGATGAAGGTTTCTGATATGCCAAATAAGTAATTGTAAAGGAACACCATGTTTTTTAAAACTATATTTTACTATATTTTAACTGTTTACCGACACTAAGTTAGCTACAGTTTAACCGGTTAGCCAACACAGAAAAAGAAATTAAGCAAAATGACGCCGTTTCTGACACTGTTTAAATGAGATTACATTTTACTGTATTATTATTTTACAGTAGTAGTACAATTTTTTTAGCAGAAACTATGCTTATACCATTGACTATATAATTGCATACTTCATAAGATATATTGCATCATGATATATTTGGTTTATTTAATAATACAAAGGTTCTATTTGATGATAGGTAGGCTATTTAATCTCTAATAACATAAAAACACCAGATGGTGGCAGTAAGCATCTGCTCAATTCAATGGCTGGCACGTAAAGAAACGCGATCCTACTGCGCATGCGCACATCGCCTCTTTCATATCCTAGCTATTGCCATGTAGAACGCTCTGGCATTTTAGCTAAATCTGCTTCAGTTTTGATTTATTTCCAGGTTTAAAGAAATGTCCGAGCTTGAAGCTAGTGTATCGTGTTCTCCGCAGTGTGCGGAAACAGACAATATAAAAAATATAGACGATATTAATCCAGAAACAGTACAAAACACTAACACCAATATTTCTCAGGTTGAAGAAGGTGAGTCTATCAGTTGAAACCCTTCAAAAACTTCAAAAATGCAGTCATATGGAGTTTATTTGCATCGAATGTTTGTGTTTGAGTTGTTTGAGATGGATTCATGGGTGGTAATAAAGCTTAGCGAGCCAACAAGCTAGGCTAGGCTAAATATTAATACCCATTATTCACCTTAAACAACCACCACAAAAATCCCTGTTTTTAACAATCTTTTGTTTAAGTAGTGCATCGGCTGAAAATAAACGATAAGACACAAAACGGGGGGTTAATGAAACAAAACATCGTGTAGATCGGTTAATTCGACGATTAAACAACAATCTAGCCCGATAGCTAATGTATTTTTAGCCTAAATTAACCCTTGTTCTTGAAAATAGAAGCTGGTTTGTGCAAATTTAAAACGTTTTAGTGCGTTTCCAGTTTTTTTATATATATTTCTAACTAATTTGTCATTTTATGTAAATAAAAAAACTAGTATTTGTATCAAAAATGCGTCTTTTCAATGAGACAGCAGTACAAACAAATACACATTAATAACTCCAAATTTAGTTTTTTTAATGCAATTTTAGTATCCACAAACTTGTAACAATTTGTGACTTAATTGTTTGAACTGAGAGTTCAACGACACATTCAGGGAACAAACTGCCCTGTCGAGTGAATTGACATCACCATTTTATGCAAATAATGGACGTAGAATTCATGTAAGTTTGACATGAACATCACTCTTTCATTTAGAGATATGTACCTTGCAGCAGTGCATTCATTAAAATATTGGCAAAAGAAACCACAGCATGCACTAATTGTCTATTTAGTGATGCACAATATAATTGATTATAATTTCTAAAATCAGTTTTTAATAATTTAGTTTTTACAGTATAATATGATGCCTAGATTCAGTTTTAACATTTAAAACTATTGGCCTTTAACTGTGTTTGTGTGTTTTTAATAATTTAAAATTTTTATATCTGTCATTTATCAGTCATTAATCAGTCAAGCGTAGCATGAAAATAACTATGGGTGCATCCTTAATTCTATTATTTTTTTATTTTTTTTTATTTTGACTAGTTCCACTAGTTTTGCTCCACAAGAACCTTATATACTATTACTAGAATGTTTTGCCTCACATTTGGCCTCATTCATGAAATAGGAGCAGAAATAATTCCTCTGTAAATCGTCCTTGATACCATTCTTGTGTGAATTGTCGCATTTAGATCAGTCCAACGGTTTATGTGAGCATTAATTCATGAACAGAATTCATTCTGCTCATGCTCGTCATTTGTTAAATCAATTTTGATATATTCTGATAACCAGATATAATTATATTTCTAAGAGAAACAGTACAGTACTCTCCATTTTTTGTTGACTAGTATTTCTGAATGCCTCACTTTGTATCTAAAATCTATTTCTAATCATAAATGTCATGCCCCATGAAAATCTGATTTGTAAAAATGTGCCACAAACCACATCACCCATGCTACCTTGCACAAACGTATGTTCAAGTTATTTCAAACCTTAAAGCAGCTCTGTTTAAATGTGTACATTATTGTCTGATTTTCCTGCAGGGTCTCAGAGCGACAGTGATCTTCTCAAAGGCCTGTTGACGGATAACTTCTGTCATGTGTGCGAAGCAACCCTGATTCACGAGTCTCAGAGAGTTTCTCATTATGAGGTTTGTGAAATCAAGTTTTTCTGTGTCAAGTTTATCTCAAAAGGGCTGCAGTCACATTTCTAACACTGCTTTATATGCTACCAGGGGAAAAAGCATGCACAAAGAGTCAGGATGTACCTGAACAACAAAGCTAAAATGAACAAGACGAGCCAAGACTGTGGAGGCCTATTGGTATGTAACAGATCATACAGAATATGCATGTATTGCTTTTAAGTGCATGCTTTAATTCTTCATATTTTGTTCTTTTTTGTTACAGAGAGGTCTGTCTGCTGAGAAGTTCTGCGAGCTGTGCAGCATGGTGTTCAGCTCCCCCACTGTGGCCAAGTCGCATTACGAGGGCAAAGTTCATGCCAAGAACATGAGAAAAACCAATCCTCCACTTCCTGGAGGTGAGTCAAATTCAGACTGGGATCTGTTGAGTTTGGCTCTTCACCATTGTGAGCAAAACCTCTCATAAACGCCTTTCAAATGGTTCTACTTTCAGTGGCAGTCCTAGAATCCACATCTCCAGTTGCCCTCCCATCAGTGAATGCTGTACAAAACCCGATCAGTCAGGAGCAGAGCGACACTTCTGGTTCGGCAGATCAAGAGGTTGACCTCGATGACCCCAACAAGTACTGTACGCTGTGCAGCGCTTCCTTCAACAACCCTCTGGTTGCTCAGCAGCACTACAGCGGCCGGAAGCATCAGCGGAACCAGGCCCGAACTGAGATGCTGGACCAGATGGGGGAACAGTCAGAACATGGTATACATTAATATACATCTGCATCTACCAAATTAGTTTAATCATATTAAAATGAATGAATGTTTTAATTTAATAATATTTATTATAATGTTTTTTAATTATTTAATTTTAAATAAACGTATTTAAATAAATTAATTTTAAGTCAGTAGGCGGAGAGAAGCCGGTCTTTTGTGTCTGTTCGAATGCGTTTTCGACTACCTCTGGAAGTGGTCAAAAGTGGACAAGCTCAAAACGTTTTGCACCTGTGTATAGTGTTGTCCACTTGTGATCGAATCGACCAAAACGCGTCTTAATTCCAGGTGTAAACAGATCCTAGGAGGTCATACTGTATGTAATCCATTAATGTAAACAGAAATGTTGTAGTCAGGTCACTTATTTTTAAAGATTCATGTTTTGTGGATTTACGATTTGATATTTGCTTTATTTCCTTGTTATTAAAGGGATACTCCACTTTTTTTGGAAATAGGCTCATTTTACAACTCCCCCAGAGTTAAACTGTTGAGTTTTACCGTTTTTGAATCCATTCAGCCGATCTCCGGTTCTGGCGGTACCACTTTTAGCATAGCTTAGCATACATCACTGAAGTGGACAAGACCATTAGCATTTCTCAAAAATTTCTGCTGCACTCATGGTACGGCAGTGAAGTTTCTTGATTATTACGCAGGAATGAGAGTATAGTTCCTAGCCATATCAGCCTAGAAAATCGCAACTTTACATTTTCCGTCGGTTTTAGTCCACGATGTAACTACAGAAGAGTCAAGTTTTAAATAGGAAAAATATCGAAACTCTTTGGTCATTTTTTTTTTTAGAAATGCTAATGGTCTTGTCCACTCCAATGATCTATGCTAAGCTATGCTAAAAGTGGTACCGCCAGAACCGGAGATCGGCTGAATGGATTCAAAAACGGTAAAACTGAACAGTTTAACTGTGGGGGAGTTGTAAAATGAGCCTATTTCCAAAAAAAGTGGAGTATCCCTTTAAACCCTCTTTCTCATACTATTTTGTTTTCCTCTCACACACTACAGTGAGCTCCCTGACTTGCCCGATTTGCTGTCTGGCGCTCAGCTCAATAGAGATGTACCAGGCACACATGCAGGGAAACAAACACTTCACCAAGTGAGTGACGTCACTTTCATTAGTCATTTCATTTGATGCCATATTTTGTTATAGCCACTAGGGTTTGGATCTTGGTTTAGAACACTGAACTTAAGCTTTCATTTGTGAAGGTCAATATATATCTGCTTGGCCAATTAGTCAGCCAATATTTGACATTTTTACATAATCGATGATATAACCATGGATTCTTCATGAATGAACTTCCAAGTGAACATTGTCTGCTTTAAAATAATTTAAAGTAAAAATGAAATACCTTCGTCGATAAAATGCTGTCATAGATTTTTTTTCTGTTTGAATGTTCTAGATAAATATGTAGGATTAGTGAAATAAAAAGTTGCAAATGAACTAATTTCCTGTTGACGTAAAAAAAAACATTTGTAACCTTTTTTTTTTTTTTTTTTAAATAGTCATATACATATTGCTATTACTTCTGCATTTTACTTATTCGCATAAGCTATTGGAAAACCCATATTGGTTGATTAATAGTTTACATGCAACTATTTTAATCCTAATCTGCTTGTTATCAGCCATCCGAATCAGTGAAATTGACTTTGTAATTCATCTTGATCCTTAGAGAGAAGAAAGTTATGGATCTATGCAAATCTCAGAAGAAAGTGTATGACTCCTTCCAGGATGAGCTGGCTGACTACATCCAGGTGCAGAAGGCCCGGGGGCTGGAGCCCAAAGCAGGGCCCGGCACTGTGGGACAAGCAAGCCATATTCTGGATGAGAGTACAACAGAAGGTCCACTAAAAGGAGAAGAAATGCCTCATCCTGGCCAGTTGATGCCATGTTTTCCACTTCCTGGTTTCCCTCGACCTCACTGGCCCCCACAATTCCAGTCTCAGGTCCCTCAGTTTGGCTTTGGGGTGAGAGGCCCTGTCCCACACTATCGGCCAGGATATATGCCACAATCCCGTCCTCCATTCATACCCGGTCAACTATATAAAAAAGGGAGGAGCCCTGAGACATTTAGCTCCTCCTCTTTCTCAGGCTCCTCCTCCTATAATAGCAGCAGTAGTGACAGCAGCAGCAGTTACGACAGCAAAGAGAGGAGGAGACGGAAGAGGAAGATGAGAAAGCGAGGGAAGAGCAGAAGAGATCAGGAGGATGGGTCTGATACGGAAAGGAGAGGGAAGGAAGGAGAAGCGGAACGGGGTGAAAGGAAAAAGAGGCTGAAGGGAGACAAGAGAGGAAGTGTAGAAAGAGAAGAGGATAGGAATAAGAAATGGAAGGAGAGAAGAAAAAGAGACAGAAGCTCTAGCGAAGATGAGGAAAGCAGAAGTAAAAGAAGACCAAGCAAGAAAAGTAGGAGGCACGGGGATGGACAGCATGTAAAGAAACAAAGAGAAGAGGAACTCTTGGAGAAACAAGAGGTTGTGGTGCAAAATGAGGAAGCACAGGGAAGGATGGAGGAACACGTGGAGGAAAGGACAGAAACAAAAGATAGCAAACAAAAACACAAAAAAGAGAAGAAAAAAGGAAAAGAGAAGATGAATCAAGAAGACAACAGGACTGAGGAGGAAAGGCTCTGGGATGAAACTATTCTTGGTGTTTTTTAAAGACTGTTCGATGATGGTTTGACAGTATTGTTGTAATAAAACTGCACGGGACCTCAGAAGAGCACTCAAATCTACTGGACCCATCTCACAAATGATGCTCTCCGAAGAACTCTTAAGGCCTTTCTTTCATCCAGAAAATCATCTGCTCTCAATTCCTTTTTAAGGAATCAAAAATGAACATTTTGTCATCATTTACTCACCCTCATCTCATTTCAAACCCATATGACTTTGTTTTTCTATGGAACACAAAAGTAGATGTTTTGAAGAATGTTCATGCTGCATTTTCCAATGCAATGCATGTGAATGGAAGCTGTCAATCTCTACAAATATCAAAAATATGTAGACAAGACAACTTAATGCACTATATGTTTGTGGTGTATGGATCAAAATGTATGTTGATATTCACTGAAAATATTGCCATCTCCAATTCCACATATTAAAACTGCTATTCATCTTTGCTGTGACACTTAAGAACCTACAAGGTTTGTCAAATGCAAAGCTATCACATGACACCAAAAGACTTTTTTGGTCATTTGTAGAGCTCGACAGCATTCATCCACTTTCACAGCGTGGAAAAAAAGCAGTGTAAACATTATCCTAAACCTCTCCTTTTGTGTTTCACAGAGTAAACACAGTCATACAAGTTTGGAATGACATGAGGGTGAGAAAATGATAATTCTAGGATGAACTTTTCCTTGAAATGCTCAGGACTACAGACTATATAGGATGTCTCTAGAGCTGCACTCTTCTATTGGAGAAATCAGTAGAAATGTTATACTTTGTGCTTTGATGCAAAAACACACTACATGAGCCATCCACCCATGTATCCTTCAACTTGCTTCATGCTTTGATCAAATAAACCCCTCCCGCTGTTTATGTCAGTATAGATTTAGTATTTATTGTTGATTTTTTTTCTAAAGATCTCATACATGAATATTTCCTTATGCTCATGACCTAATTGAAGCATTTCCACTTTTAGCCTCAAGGGGGTGCTGATTGCCAGCATGTACACTGGATCTGGAACTGCTAGAAACGCCTTTCAAACCCTGACTCTGTTCAAGAAAGACGTCAATAATGAACGGCGAGAATTATACGAAGAGTTGTCTGAATAGAGGTCAGATTTGCACATCGTAAACATTTCCCTGTATCAGAAGAGCTCAAACTGCAATCCTTTGTTTTGTTTTATTGCTGTGTGTGTGAAACCGTAAGGCAACATCAGCCTCATTCGATGCAGCAGCAGCAGCATACAGGAATATTTTTGTTTGCAGGTCTAACAGGTGCAGGAGTTGAATGAGGACACGACTGCTACTCTGTTGACCTCTTTCTTGCATAGAGCTGCATTTCCCTTTTTGAGTGTTCATACTATTATCACAATCAAGAAATCATGCGTATCTGATTTCCAGTGGCTTCATTAAACAATTCTCAACTCAATTCTTGGTTTTAGAGAACTTTGACTTCTCATGGAACATATTTATTGTGGGGAAAACAATTGTAAATGAGTTCATCACACTCGCATGTGAAATGGGATGATTCAGTCAAAAATGACAATTCTGTAATTTACTAACCCTCATGTCGTTCCAAACTTGTATGCGAATTGGGATTTGGGCTGAAATTGCAATAAAATGGATCATGAAATTATCATAAAAGACTTGTGCGCTATGTCTTTTGAAACTATAACTATTTTGAATTATTTTTTATTTATTTTTGTCATGAACAGACCAAAATTCATTATTCAGTGAAAATGCCTTCTGTCTGCACCTATTCAAAGATTCAACGTGAGATTTGACATCAATGAAAGTAACCAATAATCAATGATGACTGGATGACACTTTCTGTTTCCCAATTTTGATAGAGTTTGAATATGCATAAGCACAAATGAGATCATAAGTGATATTTAATATAATTAGATTAGTTTCTGAAGGATCATAATGATGCTAAAAGTTCAGCTTTGCCATCACAGGAATAAATTACATTTGAAATTGCAAATATATTTCGCAACGTTACTGTTTTTACTGTATTTTGGGGGGGGGGGGCCCATCCTCCTGTTGAGCAGAAGAGACTTCTTTCAAAAACATACAAAGAATCTTAATTATTCCAAACGTTTGACTGGTAGTGTACATGGAACGACATGATTGTGAGTAAATGACAGAATTTTCATTTTTGTGTGAACCATCCCTTGAATTTGCATCTAGGATGAAATCTAATGTTTGGAATTCTGATGATCATGTTTTGATCTTCAAATGCACTTTAATGCATATTAAATTGTCGATCTAACACCTGTTCCTTCTCGCGCAGTATTTGTACTTCAGAACTATATGAACTTTTTTCCTAAGCCTTTGTAACCACAGAGTTGAAAGCCCTCCGTCGACAGTCGCGTTCTCTCGAGCCCCCTGAGATCTCCTGTTTTCAAAGAATCGTGCGGTTCGACTCCCTGTGTCTTTGCCGTAGCCTCGACCTCCGAGGCATGTGCCTGCGCCACATCCTCCCCTCTTCACGACCCCTCCACGGGCCCATGAGCCCTTTCAGCCCTTCTCAAGAGACGAGGGCCAATGAGCGAGATCTCAAAACTCCCACACAAGCCCCCCCTAAGCTTCAGGCTCCAGAGTCCCACACACTCAAAAACTTCATTAGTGCAGTTTATCTAGAACGCGGAGTGAAAAACCAGCATGTTGGCTAAGGCTTGTTCAATGAATTGATAAATGTTGTGCATCTGAACAAAACCAACGGTTTGACTTTGTGGCGCAAAAGTTTTACTGCGAGCTCGGCCTGCAGTTTTGTTCTTCAGGTTTTTTAGTGTTACTGAAGTGAGTGTAAAATATGTTGCGGAATAATGATTTTTTATTTATTTATTTATGAAGTATTATGAACTTATTGTGCATATACAACCTAGAGGCCTTGGAATAAACTGTGATCTGCTCTATAGATATGTGATTGCAGTGTAAAAGTGGTTTTACACAGTGTGTAAAAAAGATGCGTTCCAGCATGCATATTTACTTTGAGCAAGTTTATCAGGATTTATTTTGTTAGTTTGACCTAACATAATTTCTTTCATCAATACTTTTATGCATTTTCTTGATTTTCTTCAGTAAATAAATTCAAAGTCGTTTAAAAAGTTTTGGTTATATAAGAAGATATCTCCAAGCCATAACATGATTAACAAAAGTTTATCATAAACAGTTTTAATTATTGTCTGAAAATGTATGTACTCAAGCTGTGATTTGTTAAAAAACCAGAGGGAGAGATATTTTAGATTTTTTTTAATATGATTTAATTTATATATATATAATATATAATTATATAATAATAATTTAAAATAATTTTTTAGAAAGTGTAGAAATTCAGTGTAATTCCTATAACATGTTTGTTCAAATATGGAAAATAATTGTTTAAACAATTAATTAAATGACATTTTTAACAATTAACTTGACTATACGTGTAGTTATAGAGTTTACAGCCTATATAAGGAATAAAGATATGTCAAACATTTTGGACACATTTCAGTCATCTTTCCCAACAAATTTGTTTCCTTATTCCATCTTAGGATATATCATAGTGTCGCACACTTGTCTTTTACTAGGCTGCTTGCGACGCTCAAAATCTATCACCGTATTATCAGAAATATACCATACTTTACCAACACTTTGAGGTCAAACTGCCATGCTGCAATATTGTTAGTTATATGCTTCCATCTGTACATTTTCAGTTTCAGTTCATTAATCCAGCATTAGCAGTATGTTGAGTTGGATCTGTGATTAATTTCAGGCATGTCTGATATTCATCACAAGTGTTGTTTTTTTTATATTACCGGTATGTGTTTGTGTTGATTTGATGCGGTTCCAGCTGTGGTGCTCTGCGGACAGATGCAGGTGTTATTCAGGTCACACACCTGCGTTTGGGTTAAAGATCATTTTAGGGAAGGCATTTAGGATTCAGCAAGCCTGCGCTTTCTGTTTCAGAGAAGATAAGAACAAATTATTTTAGCATTCACTGGAACTATTTAAATTGAATGACCTGTGGGTTTTATCACATTTTTGTAAATATGTGAGTTTGGAGAAGTTAGAGATCATTTCAATTATGAGTTCATGTATACTCTTGCATGTTGTTTAGATTTTAACTACGTCAGTTTGAATCCTCGAACTTCTCTAACAACGTGTCTGTTAAAAGTTACTTGATGCACGACGAGAGTGAACGATCTAGAACCTCTGGAATCATCTAATTTTTGTCAGGACGCAGTCAAAATAGATATATCGTTATATATCGAAAATACTATCACGTCATTATTAAAGGTCACTATATCATATCATAATTGTATCATCATTTGTTTTTTCGCAACAGTGCATTAGCAAAATCAATCTAAGCGTTGGCACGTTGCATGCTGAAAGTGTACTTAAGAGGTTTTTAGTAAAACGTGTAACGCTTTTCCATGTTCAACAGTCAATAGCTGTTATTTACTTGCAAACGAAACTTGAAATATGTGTTTTTCTGAAAAGTCTCCTGATTTTTCCTTGATGTTTTATGTGTATGTGTGTTTCCTCTGACTCATTCTCTGATAGGCTTTCAGTAATTGGTTCATTGGCCCCACACACAGCAGGCCCTCCTTTTAGTGTGACACATGAAGAACAGAAAGGAAAACACAGACACACAGTTGACAGCTCACACACGAACGCCCAAGGATGACCCTCTCTTGCATGTGCTGTTATGTGTTCGTGTGGATGGCAGGTAAGAACTTTTCTTCGCATTATATTTAAGAGCCGTCAAATTCTATAATGGGACCAGACCTAAAACTTACGTGCTACAATAATATGAGCTTGGCGTAAAGAAGTATGCACAAGTCGAGGATATTTTATTTGAATGCTGATTTAGAATTTTTGTGACATTCTGCAAACGATGGTGTTCTTAAAGAATATTTTAAAATATCTTTGTGATGATCTCAGTGGTTCGCTTTAGGCCGAAAGGTGTTTTGCATCCTAAGGCAATTTCTTGCGTTTGAAAATATTTGGATTTGATACAAATGTTTGTGTTTAACTCTTTACTTTAGACATTAATTCTACTAAATATAAGTAACTTTGCAACATGTCAACTAACTCTCATTAGAGTATAAGAAGACTGTTAGGTTTGGGTTAGTAGAATAAGTTGACATGTATAGTTACAAAGTTACTTATAGTTAGTAAAATGTCAGTTGGAGGAGCATCAAAATAAAGTGTTAGCAGATATTACGCAGACAATCTACTAATACTAGTGACGTAGTTGCAGAGTTAGTTATAGTTAGTAGAATGTCTCAAGTGGACAATCGAAAAAAGTGTTATCAAGCCAGATAATCCACTGTAACTAAGTCTCACACACTCAGGTTTATGTAGAACAGATAGCTCATTTGCATCTAGTATGTTTAAAAAAAGACAAAATGTCAGTGTTAACCAATAAATTGAAATCCGATTCACTAAAAACTCAATTTCATGCTTTCACACTCTCGACATTTTGCTTTTTGTACTAAACTGAATATTGTATATTGCGTGAATGGATTTTTGTTCCATTCTCTGAGATAAATTATGATGGTTTTTTCTGCTCATACTGTATGAATCTATGCCCACATATGTGCCAGACACCCTCAGGCACTGATAAGAGAGGAAAACTGTTTTGCAAGAGAATATAGACAACATAAATCGCCTATAAACCCAAGAGTTCTGTCTATTCAGGTTTCCATTCTTACATAACAAGGAAATTGACTAATGTGTTTCTACTTCTTATAGTCTATCGTACAAATGTCTTTTCAGCCTTTTATTTTATTTTTCAGTGTCTAATTCTAACCTTTGTGTTCTTTTACTGTTATACTTTCAAAACAGAAAAGTGTTACATTCAAATATCTGACTTTACACTATCATTGACTATCATTGTCCTTTGAATAGGTACCATCTAAAATTTCATGAAGCTAAACTCAAAAATCAAAATGTGCATAACGAACAAACCAGAACTGAAGAGCTACAGTAATATGAGCTTAGCATAAGGAAGTCTGCAGAAGTTAAGGGAAAATTGATAACTGCCGTTATATATTTTATTTTGAATACTGAATTAGAATTTTTGTAATGTTCTGTAAAAATGGTATTCCTAAAGAATATTTTAAAATAACACACACACACACACATATATATGTGTGTCCTTTGAATAGGTACAAATCCAGACTCTTAAAACTGAATGCGGCTAAACTGTTAAACCATAAATTCAAAATGTGCATAACGGACAAAGCAGGACTCATGATTTCTCCTTTGTTTCTCCTTAAGCGGCCGTTCTGCCCTCCTTCCAAGCTACTTCGAATGTTTTCTACCCCAAAATCAATGGGGCGCAAAGTCTGAACTGTGAATGTCCAGATCATACCTGCCAGGAGGTGTTTTGGTACCGGTACCTTGAGAGTAAGAACTCTCCTCAGTTTCTGATGTATGTCAACAGCGCCAGCAGAGAGGAACATGGAGAGAACATCAATGCCTCTAAGTTCAAGGGTACCGTGTCCAGCGGACAGAAGGTGGTCTACACCCTGCGCATCATGGAGCTACAAGAAGACGACGTCGGCTTCTATTCCTGCATGTTTAAAACTAAGAATGTTGTTCCTGCTGGATATTACATTCTGCCTGGAGGTATGGGCAGTGCTCTCCTTCTCTGTTTTGGCCCCTACCCTGGTTTTTTATTGTCAAAACTTGAGTTTCCCTCTTTAATGGTGTTGTCGATAGTTCCAGAATGGCAATTTTAGGCTGAAGAAAGTAAAGAAGACCAAAGCAATGAAACTGAGATACTAAATGTTGGTTTACAGAGTCATCTTAGTAAAATAACACCAGCATTGAGGTTTCCATCCCTGAAGTGAGGACATCTTCACCTGGCGTGAAGGTGGAGATGTTTCCAAATCTTCAGTCTTTATCCTCTTTCATTGTGCTCTAAGAACATCAAACGATCATGTTAAAATAAATGACTGATGTGACTCATGTGAGACGTGGTAGGAGAGATTCAAACAGCGAGGTATTTGGCCTGAGAATCCTAGAGTTCCGTTCAAGCAGTCTTGACTTGTCTGGGATCGTCTGGAAAGTTCATGACCTGACATGTTGACTTCATATTCAGAATTATAACTCTCACCCATTTCATTTGGCATTAAAAGGTCAGAATTTTTTCATTTGAATCAGTGTCCACAATGGATTCTTGATATGATTTTTTCTTTATTCTCCAGTGAATCCTCCAACAGTTCAGCCGCCAACAGTCAAGACATACCAGAAACCCGTAAATCCCAAACCCTGCAAACCCTCCCAGTACTCACCTAAAGGTGCGGACAAAGGCGTGCTGTTAGATGGTGCTGATTTCTTGCTATTTTATACTGTTTAGTTTGATTGGTTTCTTTGTATTGTGTTGCAGGCTGTGAACATGTGGTGCTTTGGCCGGGAATTGGTGCTCTTTTGCTTTTGGCCATTACACTTGCAGGCATACTTTACTACTTCAGTCGTGAGTACACACACACACACATAGAACTCGGATATGTCTTTGTAAAAGACTAGTACATCACAGTGGTCAAAGAAAGAGCTTCACAACTTTTTCCATTACTATTTCCATATCCGTAGATGTCCATTGTGAAAGTTTCTGAAGCACTTAAAGTACTTCACAGTGCTTATAGCTCATTAACAGTTTAAACACTTATTGTATACAAATGTGTAAATATTTTAATTCAGATTTGGATTTTATATAACATTTGTGTGAATTTCTCTTTTTTTACATTGAGACAACAGGTCTACCTAAGAAATGCAGACATCGATTCACCAAGTAAGTTGAGGAGATATTTCAGTTTTTAATTTTTTTTTATCAAACCATTTATTTAATGAATGTTATTTCTAGGATTAAAACATCCCTTCAATGATCTTTTTGTCTTTCAAGCGTGAAAATAAGCAACTAAACAGGAATGTTATAGTTGTGGGTCGATGTTGATTTGCGACACTCGCGCCTCACATCAAAGTCCTTACATGTGTGTTTGCATTGCCTGTGTCTTAACAGCCTTATTAGGCTCATTGAAATTTTTATAAACACTTAAATAATTTGTTTAACTATATCTGCCAATATCATGAGCTTTTTAAACTTTTTTAAAAGAACGTTTATTATGCTCTTTTCTCCATAGGACAAATCCGTTGCGATGAGGTGGAGAACAGACTCGTCATCTCCAAACAAAAAGGATCTACAGTTTGATAAAACACATTACATACCTACACTTTATAATAAGGTTTCATTAGTTAATATTACCTAACAAATAAAAACACTTCTAAAGCATTTATCAATCTGAGGTCATGTTAATTTCAACATTTACTAATACATTATGAAAAATCTAAAGTTGTCTGTTAATATTATTTAATTGACCTGAATTACCACATGAACTACTAGTGTTAACAAATATTAATAAATACTCTAACAAAATATATTGCTTGGATTGTTAGTCCATATTAGTTATTGCATTAACTAATGTTAACTAATAAGACCTTATTGTAACCTGTCTATAAAACTAGTGTGTGTGTGTGATAGTTCACCCATGAAAAGTTCTGTCATCATTTACTCATCCTCAAGTTGTTCCAAACCTGTATAAATGTGTTTGCTCTGCCAATCACAAACGAAGATATTTTGAAGAATGTTTGTAACCAAACAGTTGATGGACCTATAGTATGGGGGAAAAAATACTATGGAAGTCAACAGGGTCCATCAACTGTTTGGTTACAACAATTCTTCAAAATATATTTGTTTGTGTTCAGCAGAAGAAACACAGGTTTGGAACAACTTGAGGGTGAGTAAATGACAGAATTTTCATTTTTGGGTGAACCATCCCTTTAAATTTACTCCCAGTTCAGTGTCTCATTGGACATTATTCAACCAACAGTCCACTTCATGAATTAGATTCATTGTCTGGCTTGACTGAATTAAACCAGAGCTGAACGTACCATCAGGATTACAATAAAAACTGAACTCACCCTAAACGTGGACTAAACCCACGTTTTTATCAAGCTTTGAGTTTCGTTCTTGTTCAACACAGCATGTTTAATTTGCGATTGAATGTACAGTTTTCTGATTTCTTCATGCTTTAAATGTTATGCTCATTAAATAGTTGTATTAATCATTGTTAAATTAAACTCATGTTTTCTTTCAAATAACTGTTTCTGTGAGTTCTTTGTCTGTGATGACACTTGTTTGTATGGTGTCCCCCTGTCTTACATATCTGAGGGTGTGTTGGTTTATGTGTTTGGGTGTTATCAAGTTTCCCTCTGAGGGTGTGTGCTCCCTTTATGAAACTATACCGAATGATATTGCCTGGTGTCTCATTGCAGCAAGGATTAGCTTGAAATATGTTTTATGTATCATCTAGACTAAGACTAAATGCACATGTTGATAGTTAATGTGATGAACTACACTACACCTGTGGTTACTCTACTGTATGGACACCTGTGTGAATTTGAGGACTGACATTACACGTCCACTAAAACTCGCAAAAACACCAGTAAAAAGCTGGTAAATGACCAACAACAACTAAAATACAAAACAAATTTGTACAAATAACATTTAAAATCAAAAGGACTATTTAAGGGGAAAACTATAAATAAAAGTTCTGTGCCAAATAAACAAAATGTGGTTATGAGAGAAGATGTGCTGTCATTCAATTTGAAAATGCAGCTGTTCTTCCTGATACTTTGAGGCAAATGAACAAACCCCTTCCTGTGTAAAAAGACTGAACATTATCTCTGTCGCATCGCTCGTTCAGCTTTGAGCTCCTCAGCGCTACACTAAAACAAAACCACCACAGAGACCACAGACCTTGCCGCATGGAGAGCGTCACAGACTTTAACACAAGACCTCCATTACACTGTTGAGCTCTACAGTTTCTGAACTGTAAAAGCAATGTTTTAGCATTCGTTTATTCATTTTGTCGGGCTTTCAATAATTTAGATGAGTGTAACAATAGAAAAACATGATTTTTTTTTTGTGGGGAAAGGAAACATTTTTCTTCATTTCTTTATTGATTGTAGAAAAACCATGTTACATTAAAAAAGATAAAACAGAATACATTAAATTCATATACCTATATCTAGCACTATTTATTTCAATACAAGGAAGTGCACAAAACTACATTTGGTTTATAATGATTTATAAGAGTAAGGTCATCAAAAAGAAGAAAAGCACATTACTCGCAGAAAATATCAGGTATAAGCTGTAAAAATACATTTAATATCAATAAAGTGGGTATTAGAAAATGAATCAAATACATGTCATACTCAAGGGATAACTTTCCTAAACTTATAATGTTCAGAAAAAAGAACTGAAGTTCTTATCCTTTGTTGCGTCTTGATAACTTTCTTTGTGATCTTTGTCTTTATATGAGCATCTGCACACATGAACATGAAATAAAACCATTTGTATTTAAAGCCTTTTGAAAAATTACCCATTGGTATTTATGTTACACTGTGTGCAAAATCTACCATTTTTAATTACCATGTGCGTTCATCTTTGTTCTGTGTCTCAAGACGAAATCCATTGAAAGGGCCACAAGACCAATTCATTTGAAGGGTTGAAAATGACAGCATATAAATTATATTTATGAATTACATACATAAAATATCACATTCTTAATCCTCAATGACAATAGTGAATACTTAATCATTTAAAAATATTACATCTAAACGCAATACTAGATTCATTAACATCTAAAATACAATTCCATCACTTGCAATTTCATTGCATTCATTTCAATTGTAATATATACTATAAATATAATACTTTTATAAATTGTATGATATATATTTTAACAGAATATATGTATGTATGTCAATGTCACTTTATTTATAAAGCACTATTTAAAACAACAACTGTTTACCAATGTGCTGCATACCATAGACATAAACACAATAAAAACAAATAACAGACAATAAAACAGATAACATGACACTGTATCATTGATTAAAAGCTATTTCAAACAAAAAAAAAAGCCTTCAGTTTAAAATGTCAGATATCTATATATATATATATGTGTGTATACATATATATATAGATGTCATATATACGCTAAAACAGAACAGATGCATGTTTACAAACTTATGTTATTTTATCAGCCTGTGCTTTAATACTACTAAAATACAATCACACAACAAAATGTAGCCTATAGCAATCTGTCACTTTATGAATGTTTAGAGAAACAAGATAATAATGGACATTGAAAAATCCTGCCATCAATGCAATTGCGAATGTGTATAGATTCATTAAAAATAGTCTTAAATACAATTACATCACTGTGTATTTGAAATTTCATTGCATTCATTTCAATGGTAATATTGCATGTACTATAAATATAATACTTTCATAAATTGTATTTATATATAATTTATGAAAGTATATTTATATATATGCTAAAACAGCTTGTTTTATTTTATCAGCCTGTGCAATAAGTAAAATACAATCACACGACTATATAGAAACCCGTCACTTTACAAATGTTTAGAGAAACGATGCAATAATGGAGGACATTAAAAAATCCTGTCATGAATGCATTTGTGAATGTGTATCAAGTGCAGCTGGCGTTCAGAAACTATTACTAATAAATATACTAAATCACCCCATAAAAAGCAACATATAACATTTCTGGAAAAAAAATCACTTTGATATGCTGTATAGGCTCTACAGCTTTGATAGTGTCTCCTAATGGGTTTTGATTATGAGAGGAACATTAAATATAATAATTTTAAGGAAAAAAAAGTTAATTTAGAAATTACGATTATTTAAGCACATTCAGGATTTCTGAGACCCCAGTAAAGTCTCAACATGAAGGTATAAAACCATCACCAAGAAAGCAGAAGCATACTTACATCAGGTTGTGATCTGTAACTGATCCCTCCCACTGAGCTTCAGATGAATGCACAGTGTTTGAATGAAGAGAATCCTAACGCTGTTATCACTGCAGTGACTGAAAGTCTGTTTTTACTGATCACTCTCTAAACTGAGCTCTCTGAGGTGGGCTGCTGTCTTACTGCATGTAATAATTGTCTGTTGTGGTGTGTGTGAGGAAGAGTTGGCCCTCTTCCTCCAAGGAATCCCCAGGTAAGCCCCATCCCCCTCATCCTCACCTCACTCTCTGAGCTGTGTTTTGGGTCTGAGACCCACGTCTCTGAGATCAGGTTCTTTTGGTGAGTCAGACAGGGATCCCCAGGTAAGAAATCAGTGGATGATGAGAAATTACCCAGACTGAGAGAGTGACTCAAAACTACATGGAAACTGAGGGTGGACCGCCTGTCAGAAACTGTCTCTCTGTTTGACTGGAGGTCTTCCTGAACACCCACCGGCAAGATAAGAAAAACAGACCTCCCCTTTATGAAGGGTCAACGCTGTATGAGATTTACTGTACAGTCATAAGGTCCCTGCCTTTGTTTTTGTTCAAATGTATTTTTCTTCATTTTTAGTGTGTTTAATGTGTTTTCTATAACCCGTATAGTTCATCTTTAGCTCAGCTGTTCACATTCAAACTTTTTTTTTATGAATGTACAAAATATTAGTCAATTTTATATGGTAAAATATATTAAGCACCTTCCCAGGCGATTTTTTACGGTAAAGGTGAGAGGTACAGTGTGGAGATAACATAAACTCAAAAGAGGTAGGCTACATATAGGGGAGAGCGGGACAAAACGTAACGCGGGGCTAGTTGTAACAGTAACAGTTTTAATACTTCCACACGTGCTAGCATGACGAAACTTGAGTACCGTAAAACTTCAAATAGTAGCCCGGACTTTTATTTTCCCAAATCGTCGAACTGCACCGGCTTGTATTTGAGAAAGGCGTCTATATGAGACAGGCCTTTATAATTTAGTGTTGAGATGTTGTTCATTGAGTGTATAGGCCTGTCTCTCTAAAAATCTCCAAATGCTCCACGTGAAACTGCGGTCTTCCGACCTTTTACAATCGCGTCAATTGATTTTGATTAATATGCGCGAGGGAGAGAGCAAGACAGCGCTCGAGTTGTTTGAAGACGTGAGAGTGCGCGCGCGCGCGCGCGGCCGGGGCGCTCTCTCTCTCTCTCTCTCTCTGCTCACAACGCGCCCTGTCAAGCGCAGCAGTCATTCTATTCTACATCACTCATCGATCAAAAAAGCCGTTGGAGGGACAAAAAATTTGCTTTGGCAGCGCCAAAAAGCTGACGATCTGACTGTTTTAGAGGATTGAATACAACCCGAAACTAAAAAACAGACCCGGCCTCTATTTGAGACCGGCCTTTATTTACCCAAACCTGTCGCCACAGGCGTGTAAAAGAGACAGGCGTCTATTTGGGACTCGGCTATTATTTGAAGTTTTACGGTATTTACTAGTTGGAAACATAGAGGAAAAATTGCACCAAAATCCAGAAATCTTTGGAAGATATCACTGAATATTTATTTAACCATAGCAAAAGTACATTTCTTATGTTAATTTTCCTTCTCTATTTTTGGTGTTTATTTTAAATTAGACAAATCTGATATTATTTTAATCTCCAATATGTTATTCAACAGAACTATGGTTCTTTAATGCTTCGTTAACTAGCAGAAGTCACTAGCAGGGTTTAAATCAGTTGTGCAGAGCATGTACTGTTACAACGTGCCCCTATTAGAACTATGCTATTCTATACTTTTATGAATTCTATTAAAATAGAAATAAAGACTGTCAATGTTTTAGAAGTTATTTATTATCATTGTGTTTTGAACTATGTTTTATAGCTGTGTTTTCCGGTGTGTTCGTTGTCAAACTCAAAAATTATTTTATTTTTAATTATAAAAAAAATGGCATTATTTTATGTGAAAAAGTTAATAATTGTATTTAATTGAGAAAATATTTTAGTTTGTCTTGTATGTTTTTTTTTTATTAGATCAGATTTTTTATTAAGCTGTCATATGGTCATGTTACAATGTACCCCACCTGGGGCATGTTGTCACATTTCACTTCCATTCTTTCGGGGTATATCAAGAAACAAGTATACACTGTATTAATAAAACAAAACCACATAATTGTATTAGACGTGTGAAAAAAAAAACTCTGAACCCTATAGATTTACACAAACTGAGAAAGTCAAAAAGCATTAGGTTGTGCCCCGCTCTCCCCTATTTAGGATGTAAAATATAATATAAATATTAAAATAATTATATATATATATATATATATTTATATAATATGTATGTAATTCTTTTATTATTATGTTATTTAAATTATTATTTTGCATTTGTTTATATATTGGTGACTTTCTAATGTTGCAAAAAACTCACTAGACAATGTTTACAACTACAACAACAATAATAATACTTATATACAGTATAGAATACTTATAACACTTTTTTAATAAACATCTAACACTACATTTGATAAAATATTTTTGCAATTTTGTTGGAATTATTTTTTTTTATGGGATGTGTACAACTGACTGGGTCGTCAACAAATTAGTTTTTGTTGATAATGTCGTAAACTCCTATTTCCACTATCCAAGCATGTAAATGTTACGTTAATTTCCAGGAGACGTAAATGTAGGCTTACGTCAGACCGTGTTGCGACATAAGAAAGAAAGGGGGCGCTGTTGTTAGTGATGTAACCGTGTGTGGGCAGCATCCCCTTCACTTCCCCCTTTACATTTATATTATTTAGAGACTCTCTGTACGCCTACAGAACAAGGTGGTCTGAAGCTGTCGTACAAAACAATGAACATCTTTCCTTTCCACTCTTCTTGGGAAACGTTATATTCTGATACCGTCAAGACGTCAGGTGATTTTCAGACCTGTTTTGAGTTTTTCCTCACCGAGATAAGATAGCACAAACACTCTTTTTAAAGCTAAACATTTCGCAAAATGGAGATTTGAAATCACAAAGTGTCTCAAATAAAGACAAAAAGTGTTGTGTTGCCTTCTGGTCCTAAAATGTTAGAGGAACATGTTGATAGTTGACGTAATGAACTACACAAGTGGTAGCGAACTTGAGGAGAACTGACTTCGTACATCCACATAATCACCTTGACACCCAATTAACGTTAATTAAAAATAATTGCAAACAATAGTTCAGAAAAGCGGTTGTGGGCAGTAACGAAATAAAAATAGCTACATTTTTCAAGTTGAGTCAGACAGTGCTGGCTAAATAATAGGCCTAAACATGGTTCATCGATCAGTAGGCTATAGCCTACTTTTTACCTTTAATAAGTAGGCTACATTAACAATTCACTACTTGCACAACTACTTCCGCGTTCTACTTATTACATATCGGGAGTTTCCGGTTAGAGTGTTCATCGCACGTCCATACATGAGAATGCAGATTATCACTACGTTTTATGGATGCCAATTGATTACAACAATGAATAATGATCTCTGTATTAATTATCTTGAGCCTGCTGAAATGTTCCTATAAATATATTTTCTTCCCAACTGTTACATTCTGAACAATAAATATATATTTATTCACTAACCTGCAGCAGTCCTATGTCTTCACAGTATTTTTCTCTTAGCCTACTTATATTCTATACCTGTTGAGTTCACATTTTTTTATGAATTTGAATAATAAAAAGTATTTATTGTGTGCTTTGGTGCTTTATTCCTGTCTTTTAAAATAGTTGAATGAATGAATACTCGCGAGGTGCCTACGATCAGAACCATAGATCAGAACCGCATGCGTAGAGGAGAATGACAGTCAACTTCTTTGAATATTAATTAAGCAATTTGGGCATGAACATGTAAATAGTAAAACGATTGACATTGAAAAATTACACTGAATGAGTACAATATTTAATCCAAATAAATAAATGTTCGTGGTTCGTACCATAGGTGATGTTATTCATCTGTTCTCACACATTTCAGCGTCGCGGTCACTAGTTTAGACGAACACTGACAACCTGTGGTAAAATAATGGCGTATTTTTAACAGCCGCAGCTTTCTCAGATTGGCTTGGATTGGATTAAACTTTAATGTTCCGATGAGTTTTGAAAATTCTGCACACAGTAAACATCAGATCATCCCTTCTTCTGTCAATAAAAAGTCCAAAATATCAAATATTATTATAGACACTTTTTTTAGTTGGCGTTTGTTCAACTCATTGACCACAGTACATTGAAAGTAAACATAACCGGAAATAAGTGATATGTATTGTTTCCAAACGGAAGTGCGTCACGAAGTTCAGTGCAAGTGGTCCATTAAATACTTTTGTACATTGTGGTATAGATGTTTCTCTATTTCGCACCTGACCTAGTCCACCTGGGTCTCGTCTTCAATCGACGTCCCCGAACGTCTACATTCGAGGTTAGTTTCCTGTAATATTTATAATCTAGCGCGTCTACACATCGACGTCGGCTGAGATCCCTGCGCAGCATTAATCACCGACAGACTTCTGACAATGCCTTCGAATATGCTTTAATCACGGCCGGAGGATCTCGAGCATTCCTCAGAGAATCCCACCAGGAAAAGGAATAGGCCTACAACAGTTTGTATAAGAGCATGGCAAAAATGACATGAAACAGTAGGCCTATTTCCCTACAATTTGATTGGTTCTTCATATGTAAACCCTTCTGTTACTAGGAGCAAACTCTGTTTTCTCGATTAGGCTGTTCATAATCACAAGGTTTCAATCTGTAAGATTCATTTCCCATATTTGTTATTTTTACACCCAAAGTCACGAGTTTTCGACTGGTTTTGAACAGCAGCCTATATAGCCTATATTTTGTTCAAATGTTAGAATATTAAAGGCCTAAAAGAGAAGCAAGGTTAGAGTTATAGTTTACTATTTTATTCATTAAGAAACCCATCACAACATTTACTACTGAAGTAAATTAGAAAATGAGTAGGCCTGCCAGATACACAACTGGAGCAATATTTGATTAGGGCAGCCATCTATCTATCCTACCTTTACTCAAGTAGGCTACTTGATTTGTGTAGCCTACTTCTGCAGAAAAGCGAGGTTAAGATGCATTCTTTTCGGGTTATCATGCATTAATAACAGTTTAGCTTTCAAATTCTGCATTGGTAGGCTACTGCATTTGTAACCGTATATCCTCCTGACTACAGTTATATTAAGACGTGTGTGACTGAATGAAAGTGAAAGAAACAGAAACGAACAAAGCGCGTGGAGGCAAAAACATTCCGTGCACATATGTAATAGCCTTTGTACACCCTAACGACACATTTTCTAAGCTGAATGAAAGTTAGGGGTCCAGAGAATTGCTGTACAGCCCCATTCAGAGGAGCGCGTCACATGCGGTTTGACGCGCGATCAAAGAGCTGCGCGCGCCTGTGCAGTGTGCATGTGCTCGTGCTGCTAGTGCAGACCCCCTTCAGGTGCACGCTGAGCGCATACTGTACCACTGCACTGACAATATACCACTTAAAAAACTACCACCACCTGTTTTATAGACCAAATATGAACAATGATCCACATCGATCCAAAAAAAATGTTTACATACCAAAATATTCTACATAAAACAATCTGACAGAATTCTATCATGTAATAATGAGAGATGTTCATCACTTTATCCTATACTTTTTTTTTTTTTGCACAATTTCAACTTTCAGCATTTTACTTTTTGTTTTGTTTCATGGTTCCCATAGTTGTTTAACAGTTTAAATTGTGATTAATACCTTATAAAGCACTGTGACAACTTACCCCAAAGAGTGTGAAAACATCCCCCATTAGCTGCTATGTGTATACAGAAATTAAAAGTAGTGAAACTATTATAAACCTTATCTTTACTTCACCTACATGGAATGTACACAAACATTTGACTGTGCACCCGTATTTCTAAAAAGATGTATGCTGTTTATCTAACATTTAGACATTTTATTTTTGTTTCTAGGCCACTTATTTTACATCTTTAAATGTTATTTATTTATAAAATAATATATATAGATTTTTTGTTGTTGTTGTCACAATTAGTAGCATTAATAGTACATTTACAAGCTTGTATTATTTTACACTTATAGTACATTTATTTTCTTTAGTACACTGTTTACAGTACAGTTGAAAACCAAGACAGTGAGGGTTTGGGAGGGGCAGACGAGGAGATTTTGTTTCATTCTTTCAGTAGTTTTGTTCCTGTTGTTAGAAGAACTGAATGTCTGTGCTGAGAATTGAAAAAATGTATCAAATATACATTGGATTTTGTGTGAGTTTGTCTCTCTTCTGTGGTGAGTTGAACATTTTCTCTTATATTGCGATTACATTATATGAAATGTAATGAAAAATATGTAAGTGTACAGGATTGACCGACTGTTTACGATTTTGAATAGACCAAATATAATTTGCATGTTGTTTTTATGTACAGCCATTAGACAGTCATTTAAACTGTAAAATAATCATATTTAATTTTATTTAACGTTTTAGCCTAACTACCTCAGCACAGAAACAGCATGGAAATGATGATACAACACAGAACACATAATGATATATATTTGTATTGGCATGCTTAAAAGTATAAAAAGCTGCATACTTTCAGTTAATTCAATGGTGAAACAAGTTAATTCTATTTTCACACCACTAAATGCAAAGAAATTCAGTTTCACATGACTTTTAATGTGACCTAATAAATAAAAAAATAAATAAAAAACATTTGTTCACACATGCATTAAAAAGTCTTGTTTTTCTTAATCTAAACACATTTCTTTGTCTCCAGGAGTCTCTGCAGAGATCTATAAAGAAGGAGCGAAGGTTCGAGTTAATTGTGACCTTAAACAGTCCGGCGCCTTGACATTCTGGTTTCGAATAAAGAGTACAGGTGCAGACTTTTTATTCACTGTTAAACAAACGGACATAAAGGAAAATTCCTTAAATGAGACAAAATACAGTATCGCCGTAGACAAGAAAAGTGGTAAGGCACATTTTGACATTAAATCGTTCGAGAAAAAGGCAGACGATGGTATTTACACCTGCGCAACCATGAACAACAATAAACTCTTCTTCGGAGGGCTGACTGAAATTAAAGGAGAACCAGGTGGGTATCTGACTGTTAAACATTAACATTGTCTGGTTAATTCAGAAACACTGATAACATCTGAATTTTTAAAAGAGTCATGCAATATACGAGATCTGCAAAAATAATTTTTCTATAAGCATTTTGTGTTTTCCAGTAGAAAAAAAAACACCTATAGCAAGTGGAAATATAAAATTACATTAAAGAATAATATCATTGGATCATATAGCTAATATCTCTGTTTCAGATCCAACAACCCAACCTCCAAAAGCACTAATCCCGATCTTAGTGACTACAACAAAATCTACAACTACATCACATTTGTGCAAAAAAACAGGTTTGTTGTGCTATATATATGGTAAATGAAAAATAAATCTTTGTATTATAACACAGCGTTGTAAGGATAAGGAGGTGTATTTGTTCACAGAGAAGTCTCGTTTCAACTGTGAGATTTGGATATTGTCATCTCTGGCCTCTGGATGTGCTCTCCTCCTCATTCTGCTGATCGGCACAATTTTCTACTGCAACCGTAAGTCAAATCCACACCTTTTAAATTATGCAAAGTGTAGTAGATGATGTTCTTATTTCAATTATTTTTCAAATGGTTATGGACCATGTACAAGTTTTGGAACATATAAGTTATCGCACACAGTTACTGCTTGACTTGAGCACAGCCATTTAAAACATATCCACAATTATGCTAATAATAGACTTTGTGTAAATACATTTTTCAATGGTGAGAAACAATAACTATGCATGCAAATGATTTTCAAAACTCCTACACATAATTATTTGGAGGACATGTAAGAACAATTAAACTATTCTTAATCTATAACATAACCAAAGATGTAATTACAGTTAAAAATAAGTTATATTTTAAGTAGGCTGCATCTGAGTAGAGAGCACACAGGTCTCATTTTAAAGATGCAATCCTAAATTCTAAACTAATGAGGAAGTGTTCTGGTCATTGACCGAGCCCCACATGGGAGGACACTAATTTAGTTTTAGATTTACACATTTCAAATGTTCATAAAAACATGTTTTCATGTTTTGTTTTGTTTTTTTGACTGATTAAGGTTTGGCAAGCCTAGTTTTTTATAAACCTTGTTGAAGGATTTTTCTGTAATTTCTTTTCTTCTCTAGGTTTAAGGACAAGACGGTGTCCCCACCATTACAAAAGACAGTAAGTCACACTGACACAAATTATCATTAAATGGATAGTTCACCCAAAAATCATTTACTCGCCCTCAAGTTGTTTTAACCCTGAATGAGTTTATTTCTTCTGCTGAACACAAAAGAAGATATTTTAAAGAATGCTGGCAATCAAAAGGTTGACGGTAGCCATTGACTTCCATAATAGAAAAAAAATACTGTCTGGCTACCCAAATTCTTTAAAATATCTTCTTTTGTGTTCAGCAGAAGAAAGAAACTCGTACAGGTTTGGAACAACTTGAGGGTGAGTAAATTATGACAGAATTTTCTTTTTTGGGTGAACTATCCCTTTAATACAATACAGTTTCTGTTCAACATCTCAAATCTTCATTTTCAGACCTCAACCCAGACCCGCTGGCCACGCTAAACTGCCCAACAGCCACTTCTAGCGCCAGGAAAGAAGCAGGAAAGTTTTCGTCGGTTCTGTTTTCTTCTCATTAAGTACATTTAAAAGCGGTTTCCTCCTTTATCATTATTCAGTCTGTAGAACATTAAATCTTAATCTTTCAAAATGAAAATGTTCGAATCGCTCAGGATTTCTGTTTCATTCGCTGAATTTAGGTGATTTTTATAGTTATGTCTTTGTATCTGTTACTGTCACTGACAATAATCACATCTTTCCTTTATGTGGTTTTTGATAGTCTTAATCTGTTCCTAGTGAAATGTTTTATGTTTTGCTTCAATGTAGGCGTATAATTTGGGGCTTATTATGGCTTAAATTGTTGCATTTGTAGCAAGTGTGGCTTTAAAGTACAAAGTTGTATAATTGTAACCTGTTTGAAAGAGATTTCTGCCATCTGCTGGCTGTAAGTGATATGAACCTCAGATGCAGTCTCATACATTATATAATGAGCAACTCAGCTTTACAGAACAAATTGCTTTCCTGCTGATGTCTGTTTCTGCATTTAATTGTAAATAAACAAAACTATTGAAAATATAAAAGGCCCTTGGATGAAGTAATAGGCCTGTATCATGCATTCATCCTAAACCTAACCCTAAGTGACATGAAGGATTTGAAATGAACAATTTCAGTATAAATAACCCAGGAGGTGAAAGCACGAACGGTCAATAGTCACACGCTGCCCAAGAATAAAGTAATCTTCCAGATATGCTGGTGTCGTTAATGTGTAAATACATTGCAGGCTTGATTACAACATTATGATTTTAATGTTCTACTACATTATTTGTAAACAACAGACACTCAAAAATAATGTCGGAGTCTGGTAACACTTTAGTTTAGGGTAAAATTCTCACTATTAACTAGTTGCTTATTAGCATGCATATTACTAGGATATTGACTGTTTATTAGTACTTATTAAGCACATATTAATGCCTTATTCTGCATGACTTCTACATCCCTTAATGCCTAATACTTAACAACTACCTTACTAACTATTAATAAGCAGTAATTATGAGCTATATTGAGGGAAAAGTCGTAGTTAATAGTTAGTTAATAGTGAGAATTGGACCCAAATCTAAAGTGTGACCCAGAGTCCTTATTTGTTCATCTTTACTTGCATAAAGATTTTAAGAACAACAACAAAAAAAAAAAATGGTTGTATTAATAGCACAATAACGTCTTTGAACTCTTTAGGAAGAACTGCCTGGATCCGTTCAACATTTCATGAGCAGAAAGAAACGTTTTTTGGAAGACAATGCTTAATTTAAATGTCATATTTCAGTTTCAGTCATGAGGTATGGTTGCTGACATCTGATGTTAAGCAAAACGGTAATTTTGCGGCAGCCCTTAAACCAACACAATTGAGTTAAAGTGAAAGTGAAAGATTCTGACTTTTACCGCATGTAATGCAACACCTGTCAAGTGTGAACTTATTAGGGGTTCTTAAAAGTAAGTGTAAAACCTTAAAGGGATACTCCACTTTTTTTGGAAATAGGCTCATTTTACAACTCCCCCAGAGTTAAACTGTTGAGTTTTTACCGTTTTTGATTCCATTCAGCCGATCTCCGGTTCTGGCGGTACCACTTTTAGCATAGCTTAGCATACATCATTGGAGTTGACAAGACCATTAGCATTTCTCAAAAAAAAATGACCAAAGAGTTTTGATATTTTTCCTAATTAAAACTTGACTCTTCTGTAGTTACATCGTGCACTAAGACCGACGGAAAATGTAAAGTTGGGATTTTCTAGGCTGGTATGGCTAGGAACTATACTCTCATTCCTGCGTAATAATCAAGAAACTTCACTGCCGTACCATGAGAGCAGCAGGCGTAATGATATGACGCAGCGCCTGAAAATAGGCCACCTTCCGTCAACACAACGGAACTATTTTCCGGCGCTGCGTCATATCATTACGCCTGCTGCTCTCATGGTACGGCATTGAAGTTTCTTGATTATTACGCAGGAATGAGAGTATAGTTCCTAGCCATACCAGCCTAGAAAATCGCAACTTTACATTTTCCGTCGGTCTTAGTGCACGATGTAACTACAGAAGAGTTACAGAGAGTACAGGCAGCAGGCTTTTTAACAAGCCTGCTGCCTGTACGTACTAGTTTTGCATTGCTGAAAGTTGTAGTTTAGTTCAGCGTCTCACGTAATGATGAATTTTAGATGAACGCGCTTGATCAGTATCTATGGCAACGTTCTGTTTGATGTTTTCTTAAAATCTGACCGTCTCATCAGCATCGTTTTCCACAGTCATCCGTGGCTACTATTTCGACGATTATTGAGCTGACATTATTATTATTAACATGCCTTGTGTTCACTATAAGTTTCTAAGTAAACTCACCCAATAGACGGTCCAGTTTGAAGGACTTCACATCACCCCGAGAGAGCTGAAACACCGAATTATGAGGCGCAAGAGACTGAAGCGCTGTGACCTGCAGATCAGCAGCGCACAAACTAGTGAAGGTGAGTTAATCTACATATCAGATGCTGCTAGGTTGAAACCCACAAACAAAGGATTTGTCAAGTCACCTGACATAAACACAACTTTCATCATTTAGCTGTAACTACTAGTGCAATGCCCTTGCAAAATCTGTTTATAGTAATTGTTGGTTTGGTATGTTTGAGTTGCTGAATAGCCTATGCTATTATTACACAGGAGCCTAAACTTTGAGAAACCGATAACGTTAAAGCTGCTGTCCGTAACTTTTTTAAGTTAAAAATAATCCAAAATAATTATATAAAAAAAAAAAACATATTCTGCCAGTGGTCAAAACTATCTGCTTGCCATAGCTAGATTCAAAACGGTTAGCTTGTAATAATGATTTTAATTCCAGTGGTACTGGTGGGTTTCCGCGGGAAATTCGAGCATGTCTTTGCGTCATTACGTCACACCCGTACACATAAAGAAGGAGTTTCGGCTAGCCGGCTATACTGCGCGTGACGAGATGTTTAGATGTATAGGCTTTTCTCGCAGCACTTTACATAATTAAACTTATGGCATCCAGAAAGATCCAAACAACAATCATCAGTGTCAACTGGAGATTCAGCAGTTATAAAACCCAAAAGTTCTCTTTCATCATCTCGTTTCGAGATCCACCTATGGGAAGGGCATCCGTACCTGACCTCTGCAGAAGCATCCAATTGCACCAAGTCTGGCTAACAGACAGAAGCGCGCAGCCAATGCCAGGTGAGGCCACACCCCCTTACCTACGGGCATATCACAGCTGGGCGCGCTGCTATTCCTCAGTTGACATTCGCTTCTCGCGATCTCTGCATTGACACAGTTCGGTTGGATTAACGTTACGCTGCTCACTTTCTAGTCTTCAGGAGGACATATCGCCAGATCAGCCTCCGCCAGACGTGAGTGACAGTCGTTTCTTCAGCCTATCCGCTGTGTTTTTTGCATCCGGAGCCGCCCGAGCTCTCGCTGTCCTTCACCTGCTCCTCCTTTACATGGCTGCCCGCCACGGATTTTTCCGAGTTCTTCACCGCTGGCCCACCCATGGCTATGTGACCGTCTAAACAGCCGCTTCCCCCGGGGAACAGCCTATCACGACGAGCCTGCCCGGCCGCGTGTGGTGCTCTCATCGCCGCTATAAGGACCCTCTCGTTCTGCGCGGTCTGCTTGGGCTTAACACGCTCAAGCTTTGGAGAACCCGGGGAATTGCGGTCATTGTAATTGCTGCCCATGTAGCTTTTACTAAGCTGGCTTTTAGTTGCACGACACAGCGCACCGTGCTCGGCCTTTCTGACTCGGAGGAGAGACACGGTGATGATGACGCGCTACCGGGGGACTCCCGGAGCACCACCTCTCTAAAATATTTGAGCTGACATCAGCCCAATCCGCATTCCCTGAAGAGGACATCTTCGCGGGAAAACCTCACTCTCGTTGACGAACCGGTCGGTTCCGGCGACGGGGATGACGCGGTCCTTTTAGCGTTCCCTAGGCTAGCGTTCACGCGGCTTTGCCTCCGTCCATCCTCCTGGAAGTTTGTGAGCGAGCGGCCGTTCGTCTCAACATTGTGTGGCCAGCTCCACAGAGCGCCACCGACCAGGATAGGAATATGTACGGCGGGTAAACGCTGGGACCACCGCCCAGTCTGAACGGCTGGAGCGTCCCGCTAGACTGTTAACACGGTCTCACGGGCCTTGATTTGTTACGATTACGTGTTGAGGTTTTCAATTTATGCCTTCCTAGGAAGGCGGTCCCGAACGCAAGCGGCCTGCCTGTTGTTCGACCATTGGGAGTAACGTTAACTAACAGGGTCTCCCACCTACGGTCGGTTAATCCCCTCTCGTGGCTGCCCAGCCCGTATGTTAGTGGACGTTGTGTGTGTGTGTCCCCCTCCCCCCCCACAACAACAAGTTACGGGGGAGGGGGCTGTCGTGAGGAAAAGTACATAGCAGTGTTACCACACCGCACGCACTTGGTTCCCCTCACCCAGTTATTAAAGGCTTCGGCACCAGTGTTTCCCAACACAAAACACACACATTACTAAACAACACATTTAATAAACGAATCAAATGAATTCGTGCAGATTTATATATCTGCCAGCGCCAACATAGAGAGCAAATCTCTCTGATCCCATGCATGTCGCCCTGAGTCCGTCCACAAGAGGTCGCCATTGCCTCATAAATCAACCAACTGGGCTCACACAGCTCAGTTGCGGCTGTCCAGCCGATGTGTTTTTAGTGGACGTTGTGTGTGTAAGGCCCCTGTGTTCCCCAACACAAAACACACACATAACTAAATAACACTTGAAAAAAAAAAAAAAACGCATTAAATAAATCCGTTACAGAGAGAGTTTCTCTCTCCGCGGATATTATTTTTCTGCCTGCACTTGAGACTGCCCAGTTCATGTGTTCAGGAGATATGTGTTTTTCCCACTTTTGGGGGCACCTTGTGAGGGAAAGTTCAGCACAGTGGACACCACACTATGTTTCCCTCACTCTGTCAATAAAGGCTTCGGCCCCAGTGTTTGCCCAACACAAAACACACAAGGCTACGAATCAAATGAATTCGTTTTGGAGAGAAGACCTCTCTCCGCAAAGAAAACTTCTCACTGCAGAGAGAGGAAATCCCTCCAAACCCTTGCATGTCGCCTCTAGTGTTCCCACTAGATGGCGCCTTTGCATCACAAATGAACCAGCTGGGCCCATACAGCTCCGCTCCGGCCCGAGCGGGGGCGCTCGCGAGTCACAAAGCGGCTTGGCAAGCCGTTTCAGCGCCCGAGTGAGTTTTTGCGTACTGTAACCCAGGGTTACAAGCTGCAGTTTGCAATAAAACCTCCGCATTTCAACGGCGTTCTCTCTTCTCACACAGAAGAAAACGCCTCACACATTCTGAAAGAGGAAATTTCCTCTCTCCTAACAAGGGAGCGATTCAGATGGTGCCACCCAATCTGATAAACCATGGTTTTTATTCCTG